GCTCTCACATGGTCTCTTCCTTCTTCCACATTCATCCAAACACATGACTTATATCACTATTCACTCACTCCCATAAAATAATTTGGTGGATTTTCCAATAACAATTAGTCTTTTACTTGTGAATATTTTATTATATCTGATTAATATATCATCATGGAAAAGCTTAATTTATAATCTTCTTATCATTCACCTTATACAAAAAAAAAATGCCATATGTCAAATTAATCTTTTCAATACTCTCTTTAATCCTATCTATAAAACCTTAGATACAAATTTTAATGAAAATGTCTTTTTTGGGGGGAGGGGATGGGGAAAAATCCATCACTAAAAATTTTATTGGTGGGAAAGATTTCATAAATATCTATTCTACAAGTTTTGCCCATAAAATACCAGTACTTCGGCTTAGGTCCTTCTTATCAATAAAATTTTTAATGAGATGCTTTTTTTCCCTTAAATTTTCTCTCTTTTCTTGAACTTTTAGTCTAAATAATGACTTTAATTTAATTAAGAGTAATTTTGGAAAATTGTAAAAAATTTTATATTTAACTATAACTAATTTACTTAATCCAAAAAAAAGAGTTAACATGGTATTATAAAAAGAACAGGAGAGTTATTTATTATGACCAACCTAAGTTATTATTTTGGCCTAATAGCATTAATTAATAGACAGATTTATTTAATTATTTAAGTAGCCACAATAATAATTCGCTCACTTAATCATGAGATGTGATTAAATACTTTAATGTAAACAGACAAATTCAAAGTGGACTTTGTGGCTAAAGATAATTTGATGAGTGATATGTGTCACATATTAAAAAATGATATAGAAAAATAAGTGTATATACCAATCATGCATATAGTATCATATATATAGTAGTTTAGGCATCATTTTCTGTAACAACCATACTCTATACTCACAAATAATTGATAGTCAAAAATTAAGTGGTTGCATTGATTTGTTTAGGTTATGAAAATAACTGTCAACAGATATGAACTTTTATTCCTCATACACACACATTTATGAATGTCTTTTTCAATCTAACCAACACACACTCACACACACAAAACCTTTTGTCTAATTTTATGTTTATCATTGATAAAGTCATTGAATGAAATAGGCATCATAATAAAATGTGTCAATGCATTTGTTAGGAAAATTGATTGAAAGTAAATAAATCATTTCTCTTTTTTTTTTTTAAATATGGGTAAAAGTTTAAGTGAATTGAGTCCTGAGAGTTCGCTAAGGTGAAAGCATACTTACAGGCTCAAAGAACAGTTAACAAAATATTTACAAATAACCCACTAACAAGTCCCTTATATTGCAGTGAGATATTTTTGTGAAAGTTATAAGCCAATTCTTTGTCATGAGAAGAATTATTCAAAATTTTGTAAATAATTCAATTCATTTTGCTACTCAATGTGAATCTACCATACTTTCTTTAGTCTATTGACAAAAAAAAAATGTATTGTAAAATGATACTTGTTAATTAGTTTTACAATATTTACTAAAACAAATTTGAGCTTAACTGGGCTTTAAATGGAAAGAAATGTCTTTAACTTCTTTTTTCTTCCATCTATAAAATTTAAACTTGAGATGCTTTCATTTTAATTTGTACAGTACATACAATATTTCCACTTTACTTTTATAGTAATTTTACCATTGGTCAAATGGATAAATTACAAGTAAAGAAACAAATGCTGTGCCATTCTTTTTTTAAAAAAAATGAAGGAAAAAAAAGAGAACAACTGGAGCATCAATTATCTCATTCAAAAAAAAAAAAAAGGGAGCATCAATTATTGAGAGTAACATGAAATAGAGTAATTTAGCAACTCGAGGGCGTAGCAACTAGAAAGGCCATATGCATAATCTATAGAACTCTCTCTCTCTCTCTATATATATATATATACATATATATATATATGGCAACACAACAATCTCACATTCTCATTTCAGAACCTGTGTGTGTACATTGAATCACAAATCCCAAGGGAAGAAATGGAAGCCAGAAGAAGAAGATCCTGCTCTGGACATCGATTAACAAATATGTGTAGGCTTCTCCTTCTTCTTGTAGCTGTGCTCTGTTTCTCAGGATCTGCCAGAGCTTACAAGAACTACACTGTGGGAGATTCTCTGGGTTGGTTTGGCAATCTTGAGAAATCTGATGTCGATTACCAGAAATGGGCTTCTGACAAACACTTCTCCCTCGGAGATTTCCTCAGTAAGTTCATCTTTCTTTCTTTCTTCTTCTTCTTCTTCTTCTGGGCTTCTCCGTGTTCTTGATCTGCTTGTAACTTTTAATCTTCCATATCTCCTCAATCCTCTGTTTCGTTTTACTTATACAGTATAGATTCTCAGTTGCAAGATTTCAGTTGTTTCATCTGCTTCCCCAGTTTGCCCTGATCTATATATTTTTGTCTTAGATGTAAATGTTGGACACTTATTTTTGGTTTGACGCTATGCAAACAGGATATCATTCTATAGACGTCTTATCAATTGAATAAAATTGAGAATACTGAGTTTTCTTAACTATCTTCTCTTTTTACTACGTTCATCTGCTTTCCCTTCTTTCTTTACTTTCTCTCCCTCTTTTATAGTCTCTCTATCTCTCTTCCTCTTCTCTCTTTCTCCTTCCTCATCCTTCATCACATAATTAATTAAGACTGAAAGTGGAATATTGAGTTTTCTTGCATGCATATTATTATCTCACAACTTGAAAAAGCTTGGCTTAACTTTGTTACTGTTAATATTGTTTATCGCAGTTTTCAACACAGACACCAATCACTCAGTTATACAAACATATAACCAAACTACATATAAACTCTGTGACTATGACGATGCACAAGACAAAGACACAACAGAATGGTCGGCTTCAGATCCCTCGAACACGGAGGTCCAGCCGGTGACGGTGGCGGTCCCGTTGGTGAAGGAAGGGATGACATACTTCTTCTCAAGTGACTATGATGGTGAGCAATGCAAGAATGGGCAAAGTTTTCAAATAAATGTGACATATGGACAAGGATTGCCAAAAAGCTTGAGAGATAACCCTAGCTATGTTGATTCTTCTCCTTCTCCTGCATCAAGCCCAGTTTCTGGATCTGATGATGTTTCACCAGACTCAGTTATTAATACTAATTTCACAAACCCTAAAGGATCAGCAACAAGTGATAAGGATGATGATGATGATGATGATGTGAAGGCCACTTCTGGTTCTGTTTCAGTGTTGATTCTGCAGAACTTCATGACATGTTTTGTGGGACTATTGTTTTGCCTGGTATTGCTTTCTTGGTTTTAGTTTGTCAGTGGAATTTTTTTTTTTTTTTTTAAGTTTACATTTTACATTGTGTTTTGTTTATTTTAGAGATTTGTTATTATTGTTGTATTTATTGGGATAGTGACTGAGCCATCAAATTAATCATGGGTTAATTTGATATATTAGGCAAGGTTGCATTGTTGTACACTAGAATAATAATACAGATATTATATTCTTTGTGTTTATGGGGATTTAGCGATCCTATTAATTATTGACTAACTTTATGCTCTATATTTATTTATTTGTTCATGACTCTCTTAGTTGAAAGCATTTCCTCTTTTTTTATTTTTAATTTAAGAAGTATTTAAGTGAGTTGGGTCTCAAGACTTATGAAGACCAAAGTCTACTTTCAGAATTAGAGAGTATAATATAATTTTTGATCCCTCATGTTTGTTTTAATTTTGGTCTTGGTTCCTTAAATCTTAAATCATAAGTTTTAGTCTTTTAAGTTTTTTTTTTAATTTAAAACATTGGTCCTTATAATTTAGAGTTAGTAATATAGATTGAAACTGTCGAGTTCAACTCACCAAAAATCACAGGTTAGGATTAACTAAAAACGAACCAACTAGCAAGCAAAACCTCCCAGCCCGCATTGTCCAACCCACAATCTATTACGAGTTAGCCTGTCAACCCAACCCACTTTTTTTTTATAATTTTTTTTCCAAATTTATTAATTGTTATGTTTATATTATTATATTTTATATCCTATCTAAATAATTTTTTAAAAAACACCTATGCCATTTTTTTGTGTGCTTTCAATCAAATATTTGAAGGAAAAACAAAAAATTTCATTATATTTTATTTATAATATATGAGGAAAAATATTTTAAAAATAGAAAATGTTTTGTAAAAAAAAAAAAAGTTGGTAGGTTAACCTTTTTAACCTGTACTACCAATTTGCAATCCGCAGGTTGACTTATATTACCACCCCTACTACAATTCAATTAAAATTTAAACTATTTTGCTTCTTAAAGAATTAAAAACCATAGTTTAAAACTTAAAAAACTAAAATTAAAATGAAAGCAAGTTTAAGAAACCAAATATTATATTAACTCTAATTTTTTTATAAGTGTATCTATTAGAAGTAATTATGTGTAAGACATTATTGGTATAAATGTAAATATCTCTCTCCCAACGGACACGGGGAATGACATCTGATTATGCCAATCCTTTATTTAAAGAAATCCAGCCTAAAATACAAAATAATATGCGTTTCATCAAAATAGCATTATTTATTTCTAAATATAATACTTTTTTAAATTCTTATTATAAAAGGCTACTCAAGTAATTTTAATAGATTAAGAATGTTATATAAATTAGAAAATTATAACAAATGTGACTTTGTGTTTCTAAAATGCGCATATACAATATTAAATTATATATCAAACAAATTAGCTTATAAAAATGATAAAAAGAAAAGCATATATTTAAGATAAAATTTAATCCTTAAATTTTCTTTTTATAGTATATAATTTAAAATTTTAAAAACACTCTAATTTAATTAAGGTTTTTTTTTCATCAACGTAAAAATCTTTTTAAAAGTATCCTTATTTAGATGCGGACATATTTAAAAAAAATTGGATGAAAATAAGATTTGTATTCTACGTATTTTTTTACAGAAAAATACCCTGGTTAAATGGTATCCCAATGCCTCATGTTTTTCCTTCTGGGCACGTATATACCAAATTTCCAATCCGGCTCGCTGCCTGCTCTTCTGCTTCCGCGCCTCGCAAGCCACACCGTTCTGCAGCCGCCAGCCTAGCTTTTGTCGATCGCCGGCCTCGCCAGTCCTTGCTGCTGCCATCAGATACATCTGTTAGGTATATACCGGAACTAACCTCGTTTCCGAATTCAGCCAACTCTGGTTTGCTTTTGTGCATAAACAAGTTCTTCTGAAACGGAAAATGAATTTTTGAGAGTTTTGAGGGTGAAATTGTTCTGAAATACTGTTCCCCGGGGGGGGGGAGCATCTTACAATGTATAACGCTTGATTTTATAATTCCATGTCTGTAAGCTCCAATTATCTATGCAATATTAGCTTTCTTTCTTTTCTAGCCTGCTCATTAATATTGTTATGATTTTGTTATTTTGTTATAGAACATAGAACTTTCATGCACGGGCAGAAAGTTTCGGTCGATGAAGGCGTCAATTTTTGTCCCTATCAAAATCTGAATTGCTTCATAGAATTTCAACATTTACTATAGTTTGTTTCTTGACATCCTTTCTTTTGACTTTGAGGTAGTGCCAGGAAACATGTACAAGAAGAATAAGCAAGTTGGTAAGCATGGACCTTTACGTGGTCATATGGATACACAAGATCAAGAACTGGACATAAGGAAGATTATGAAAGATGTCGAAAATTTTGGTACATTTCTTCGGTTCTCATTTGGATCACCCTCTGTTACCCTTTGTTAATTTTATCCCCTATGTTATTAGTATTTATATTTTATTATGATATCTACATTTGCTTTATTTTGTTGTGCTTTGGTTCTATTTTTGAGAAGTCAAATTAGAGTTCGGACTGCACAAAATTGTGGATACTTGTATTTTTGGTCATGTAATTTGAATAATTGGGTCTTGATTTCTTTGGTCCGCTCTGTTGCAGCTCAAACTAAACATGGTACTCTTTTAAGATTCCAATTTAACCATTGTCGATATTTTTTTCCCTTTTCTTTTATTTGGCTAAAATATGCATAACCTTCCTAAACTTTGAATGATGTGTGAAGAACGATCCTTTTAGCTTGGCAGGAAACTTTCCTTAACTTTTATTTGTACTTATAGAATCCCCAACTGTTAGTCAAACTGTTGGATCATTAACGGGAGCTGCGACGCTAGATTTAATGGAGCCACATGGCACCTGACATCCTGGGTCATTTGATAATTTCTCTCCCCTGTCAAAAAGCTCAGTTTGCTTCTCCTCCTTTAGAAAGAAAAGAAAAACCCAGTATTTTTTTTTGCCTTTCCCTAGTTTCTAGGTTTCATCTTCTTCCTTCTCGATCACTGTTGGTCGTTTAAACAATGTTAAAGATGAAAATTATAATGTATCTCTTGTGTGAAGGTGAAAATCATAATGGATATCTTTTGAGGACACTCAATCTAAGAGTCTGTCTTCAAAATTATTTGTTCAATTTGTTAGCTCTGTTTGCCTGCTATAATAAAGTCACCTGCAAGACAAATTACTGTCCATGGTGCTTGTTGATAGTAAAATGTGCTGCTGTAATGTCCTCTTTGAATGCTTTGGTGGCACAATTACCAATAGCGAAGGAAATTTGTTTGGGCTACTAGATGATATTGATGGCAAAGTTCCACTGAACAAATCACTGCATCTAAACTCGAAGTCCTATTTGCCCCAAAAAAAAAAAAAACTCAGAGTCCTATTGAAGAGAGATGATGTTCTGAGCTTTTTAAGGAAGAACAAATGATGTTGTGCGTTTTTGAGAAGCTGATTTAGCATTTCATGGACCTGTTGCTAATGGGCCAAGGCTAAGTCACGCAGAATGTGTGCAGTTTGTGACACAGGAGGTGAAAGAGAGAAGGCTGTGTGCTGTATATAATTGGGAAGAAGGGTTTAGTGAGAGGGTAGGAAATTAGTTAGTATTGTGAGGGAGAGACTTTAGCCTCTCGAGTGCTAGGCAATCAGTCGGCATGTGTGAGTTTTCTGTCACTTAAGCTTAATGTCTTTGTAGTTTTCTGGTTAGATTTGCACTCTGCCAGAATTATATCATTTTAATAACATCATCAGTGTGGGTTTCATTAGCATTTTTGAGTAAAATAAGAGCATTAGACGTTATAGAAGAATATGTGGGCTTATGAAACTGCACAATGGTATTTTGTATGCATGTACCGCAAATTTCATCATGATTTGGGTTGTGGGATGTTTGCATGATGTTAAGTGAGGGTGTGTCTGGGGCCAGAAATTTATGGGTTCAAAGCAGTTCTTTCTGTAGCATATGACTCCTGTTGATCCTTGTCCACCGAATTTCGTATTCATGTTACTCTTGATGATGCCAACTTATGCTATTTTTTCAGGCTACTCGCATATGTCATGGAAAGAACGTAAAAAGATTGAAGATAGGAAGGTTGTTTCTCTTGGCGGAAAGGTGAGTAAATGTTTGCTGCATCTTGTGCTACAAGACAGTATAAACTAGGAGACGTGGCAAAAAAGTTTCATACTGTTCTTTGTTCCTTTTGCAGGCCCCTAAGCAGCAGAAATTGCCTCTAAGCGTGGCACGACCAAGGATGAAGAAACAGAAGGAGAGAGAGCAGAAAATGCTCCAAGAGGTACTTATTAAAAGCTGGTGTTGCATTTCTCAAGAATAACTGGTCACATAATCAATTTAATGGACAAGGTTTGACCATCATTGTCAAGAATGGTCTCTGTCCAATAACACAAGCTTTCAAGGAAACTGCTCTGATGAATGGTTTTAATTAGTCTATAACACGTTTGAATCTCCTTGGAGCTTGAATTATGGTGGCAACAAATTGCTGTAGCATAGTGATGAATACTTTTTTTTTTTTCCCTAGTCACCAACACTGAAGAACTGGTAGTAAAAACGATCTTACTAGTGTGTGTGAGTGTGACTCTTGCTGGCTGTATTTTACCAATTTGCCCCACTCTGTGACTTTGTAGCGTTTGATTCTTGGACAATTTGGGGGAAAGCTTGGTGGAAGCAGTAAAAGATCAGCAGGGAAGCGCAAACCAGAGGAGAGGGGTCTGAAGTCAAGTGAAGGTCGTTTTAAAAATGGCGTCCTTAATGTGAAGCATTTGTTAAATCCAGCGCAAGCCAAAGGTCAAGCTAGTGAAACCCATGCGCCCAGTGGAGGGAAAAGGAAAATGGGAAATCAGAAGAGAGGTAAGAAGAGCCGTTGAGTAATGAAATCAAATGTGGAGAGAAGTTTTGTAGGAAATCAAGCGGCATTCAATTTGTTAACGCGTCTATGTCAGTATATTGAGTTTGGATCTTTGACAGCAATCGCTAAGGATATATTAACATAATCCTTATAGTTCACACAATTTTTTTATATTAGCCTATAGTCTAAAAATTTTGTAGTCAACCCAACAGTTTTCACATAAATTTAGTTTTAAGTGTAAAATCTAAATTTATTTATTTATTTTTTTTTTTAATTCTCAATGTAGATTGTACACCTTAAGGTGTTTCATTAATAGGAAAGCGAATAATTAAACAGGCTATTTTAAAAAATTAACATCTTTTTTATGAATAATTAATTGAACTAATTTTTTTAATTTATATAAATTAATTATTTAGTTTTTATATTTAGTATTAGTATTAGGGAGAGTAACTAAAAGAAAGAGATACTTGGATACATGGAGGGGGTGAGAGTGCCACTTGATGAACTAAGCACCTTTACCGCTTCACGTTAAAGTGCGACTTCATTGTGTGTGGATTGCAGCCCAAGGGGCAACATTTCTACTCTTATATTAACAATATTTTTTTAAATGTACAAAATCAAACTTAGACTTTGTCCGATCGGACCTTTTTTTTTTATAATTACGATAGGAATTACATAATTTAATTTGCATCTGGTCAAATTCTTGTCCACTTAAAATATATATATACTACTTCCGATTCTTAATATAAGAACTTGTTTGACTTTTATTTTGGTATTAAATATAAGACCCTAATATATTTTGTCTCTCATATTTATATATATTTTTTAAGATAGTCCTCCTAATAATAGTAGTTATAACCAATATACTTAATTAGCAATGATATTTTAGGAAAGACAACACATAGTTACTACAAATAACTAATTTAATTTCTTTCCTTAATCTCTTCAAATTAATTAACTAGCTCTTATAATTAGGACCGGAGGTAGTAATTGATTTGAAGTTTAATAATATGAATTTTAGTCAATTTAATTTAGGACTTATAAGGATAAATGTACAATTTATCACTGTTCCTATTTCTTAGGTACACTCAACATTTTGATTTTTTTTTTTAAGCGGTATAATTTTACCCGCCTATTATTAAGCATATACATTAACACATGATTGTACCAAAATAAAAAGATTAGATGTAAAATTACACTAATAAAAAATAAGACATTGGATGCACTTGAAAAATAAGATGAGTTTTTTGTTTTTGGATTACAAGGAGGCGAGATCGAACCCGCGATGCACACACCCCACACACACACCATTCGGCCAAACAACTAGTGGTAAAATAAGATGAGTTTTTATTGGTTGTAACTAATAAATTATAACATTTGTTCACCGGAAAAAAAAAAAAGCTATGCCATTAATTACCTATTTTATGTTATAAATGTGTGTGTATTCCAAATAATTTAAGTCACATATAGTCTTATTCATTTAAATTATAAATTTGAAAGTATGATTAATGATTAAAAGCATGTTTAAAAAAAAAGGGTAAAAAGTAAAAACCCACTATAGGAAATTCGTTTTTCCGTTCCCCGCTTTCCCTCTCAAGACGCAGTCTTCAGCAAAGCAAAACCCTGCCCATTCCAAACTGTGGTAGTGTTGAATATGGAGGAAATACGAAATCAGGAACCACATCGCCATGAAGAAGAAGAAGATGATGATGACACCATTAGCTTGGATGAAGCCTTTTTCATCAATGACAAGTAGCTTCCTTGTACTTTCTCTATCTGCTTTGTATATATCATAATTACTTCTTTGTTTGTAATGGAGCTATATTGGATTTTCGAAGCTACCAGCTGACGAATTTTACATTTGGGTCTCAAGAACTTCAACTCTTCTCTCTTCATGCCGCTTCGAGTGAGTTACTGGTTACTTCCGACCCATTTTGAAGCTTTTACCTTTTTTAGATTTCTTTTTAAAAAAATATGAGATGCTTCCGTTGCTGAACTATCTATCAAGTTTGATTGCGACAAAACTACATTTCCTATCTTTTTTTGGGGTTATGTTCTCAGCCTCATTTCTGCCTACACATATAAGATAAATCACTCTATTCATAATCACGGTATAGGGATGCATTTGACTCTGCAATTCAACACTTATAACTCGTTAATGAAAGTTTTTTTTTTCCTGTACTCTTGTGAATATGTTTGCTTGAACCTGAGGTGAGTTCCGATGCTATTTGATACATCTCATTTTCAATATCCATGTAAGACTAGAGAGAAGAAACCAGAATAATCACGAAGTAAACAATTTGATGGCCCATTGGCCATTTCTTTAAACTCCCTTATCATGGTCAATCTTTTCACTTGGATGGAGTATTGCAGTAAGGAAACAGCGTGTTGTTATTTTGAAGTGCACCTCCCTTTGTAACTCAATTTATTATAATGATTTATTAGCGCCGCTAGCCATGTGCTGTGCTATTCCCTTTCCTTGGTAAATAATTCTGAGACTATTTAACCAATAACCAAGTTTGAATTCATTATATTGATCAAATACTGCCCCACACAGTCATTGTCTAGAGTGTAAAATCTGTGGAGTCATTGTCTAGAATTATTATCCATTTTATGTGCAATGTTTTTAATAATAATTATAATGATAAAAATAAAGTCCGTTCCCTATTTGACCTTAAATGGAAAGATGATTGTGAGAGGGTTGGGAGGGATTGGATGTTGAAGGTTTTGACTTATTGAGATTTAATATATTAAGGTACGAGCCTTGTCATACTAGTGTTTGACCTCTCTATTTGGTTTAAATTAGTTGTGTGATTGTTTGTGTTCTTTTGTTGGATATCCTTGCTTTCCTTTTCTTTTCCTTAATTTGAGTCATGATACTAATTGTCCTTTTTATCAGCCGATTTTGATTTGACAGGGCAGGTGGTGTGGCCCGGAGCCATTCTGCTAAATGATTATCTTTCAAAAAATACTGAGATCCTTCAGGGTTGCACTGCCATTGAATTAGGTTCTGGTGTTGGTATGTATTTTACACCTAAAGAGAAAATATTTCCTGTTGTAGAAAGATGAAAACGGTTTAATAGAGAATATGAAAGTTGTGATCATATAATATTGGTATTCTGACTTAGAACTACATAATTGATTGTGCGTACAGCAGTTAGATATCAGAAAATTTCCCCTATGCGTGGAAGTTGTCGGTGGAGAATCACGTGGTGCAATGCGTATAACAATATTTCTTTTAGTGATTTTCTTATGCGTTGCCTCTACTGATAATATCATAACGATAGAACTTACTAACACTTCGAGTGCCAAACTGGTGGGAAGCTTATTGACAGTCACTTTATCTTCCTCCGCCTAATGTGGAGCATTTTTTGGTTGAACTAATGTAAAGTATTTTAATAACAATGATAATGGTAAAACAAGGGTTTAAGTGTGTTGCATGTGTGCACGTGTTTCTTTTCTTAGAAGCACAAGGTCAGCGAAGGGGGAGCAGATTCTTTGATGTTTGTTAGGAGAAATGATGATTTCTTGTAATATTCCCAATTTCATGACATTGAAACTGTGAAATTACTCGTTCTCCCCTTTTCCTTTGTTTTAGTAAATTGAACTACTTCACTTTTTGATATTTTATTTTATTTGCTTTGCTTCTTGAATTTCTTTTACTTAGAAACTGTCTTTTCTTATTTCGTGCTTTATCTCCTTGGTGGTTGCTACTTCATAATTACAGGTGTTACTGGCATACTTTGCAGTAGATTCTGCCAGAAAGTTGTGTTAACGGATCATAATGAAGAAGTGCTCAAGGTAAGGACAGGAAATCATGTTTGTGGCGCCAATAGAAGTATATCTCTAGCTTGTTGTCTATGTAGACTAATCTGATATCTACCCTCAGATCCTGAAGAAAAATATAGAGCTGCATTCAATTCCTGAGAATAATTGTCCTACTTCTCATGGTTAGAACAAAAACTTCTATAAGAAAATAGGTGATTGGATGTATTAATTTTACATTCAATTGTATATATTTGCAGGATTAAGTGCTGAGAAACTAGAATGGGGCAACTCCGACCATGTCAACCGAATTTTACAGAATCATCCTGGAGGATTCGACTTCATTCTTGGAGCTGACATATATATCCATAGTATATCGTATCTTACTTTATTAGAAAGACATAAATGCAAGAATGCGTTTTTCAGCTTAGGGTAGAAGTATAGAAGTTGATTGAAACAATCATGCATATCATCTGCCCAAGCCAACGATTCAGTTTTCTATATAGTTGCTATTTAAAGATCAGATGATTGTTTTGTATGCCCCCCATGAGAAATAAATATTGGCTATACAATTATCTCAGGCATTCCACCAAGCTATCCTTTTCCGGTTGGGAATTAGGAATTAGATCAATGGTTGCTCAGCAAGAAAAATTTTTACCATTGAGACTTGAATAAACACTCAAGACTGAGGATATAATCTTTGTCATTAGATCTGCTGTTTTTTTACTGAAACTGCCATTGGTTTCAAGATATTTTAGAGTCTTGTCATCACCTGAACTCTTAGTTTCATCACATTTGAGTTTAGTGCTTTAGAAATGAAATATGGGATGCCCCTTTCTGTTCCCCATCAATCCCATCATTATTGTGAAAACTTTTAGAAAGATATTGCTTTTTCTTGTTGAAACCCTCATGGCTTGCTTGTGTTGGAGTTTTAAAACAAATACACATAGACATGGTCAAAGTTTTCAATTTCCTCCTTAACGTGTTAGATCTTTGCTGAATGGAATTATGTAAATTGATTGATGCTAGGAAAGGAACATAACTGCATCTGTTCAGATTATGTGCTATTTTTTATTTTTATTTTTTGGCCAAAGATTATGTGCTATAATACCCCCCTTTCATTGGAGAAAAATTTATTTGAGAAATCTTGACAATGCATAAGCTTTCAACAGTCAAGCATTCCTCTGCTTTTTGATACCGTTAAGGTGCTGCTGCTGATAAAAGAGGACAGAAAATGCAAATTCATACTAGCATATGTATCACGAGCAAAAACGTAAGTAACCTACCTGGCTTTGTTAATCCTGGCGTCTTTGTGTAATTGTTTACTTTGACAAGCGTCTCTCTGTTGCTCATCTGTGTTCACAGCATGATGCTTGTATCATGTATTTTCTTTCATATTTGTTATTTTTCATTTGTTGAGTTCAAGGTTTACCATTTTAGATATAATTATCTTATCATGACATTAAAATTTGCAAAATATCCATATTCAGTGCATATACTTTATTGCCTTTTAGGACCTTCCCACGTGGAAATATTTAGCTGATATTGGCCCAGTTTGTTGGACAAGAGTATGGTGAAATTTTTAGTTTGGTCCGCATCTTCTGATAATAACAGGTGTAAGGGCGCTGAATTGGTGAAAAAATGTTATTCAGGAATTTTGAGTTAAAATTTAATTCCTCAACGAACTGGAAATAGGGTAGAGCAATCATTGCTAATCTGAAACTTTAAAACCATTTTCTACCTCATTATTGCTTGGTATCAAAATCTTATCTAATCCTCATTGCTTAGTGCCAAAATCTTTCAACTCATCCTCATGACTCAGTATCAAAATCTCTCCGTCACCTTGCAAGATTGAGAGTTGAGGGGTATTAACTTCCTTACCTTTTTTTAACAAAGCAAGCGGTGAGGAATTAGAATTTTACCCTGGAGTCTTTGCTACTTTTTAAGTTCCTGTTGGAGTATTAACAGAGTTCAAGATTTATTTTTCCAAGGAACATCCATGATTTTTCTTGGAACTGAACTCGTGCACCTTCCATGGTGTCCAGGAGCTTCAATGAATATTCATAACCTATTACCCCTTGTAGCGTAACTTGTGCCAGGAAAATGTCTTTTATTGTTCTGCTGAGCTTATGATTCTTTTGCATGTCTAAGAAACAGTACAGATATATGCCATAACCATGAAATTATTGAACTGTAGACAGCCTTAGCTAGTTCTGTACTTAACACTTGATTTCGTTGGTTACTAGCAATAGCCATGTTTATGGTTTTGATCTAAATTCTTAGCACTTCTCATTTAATTAAATTGCCTCCCTTTGCAGCATCGACTTAATGGTCACTAATGAAGCTTCTAAGCACGGATTACAGATGAAAGAGTTGCCTGGGACTAGGCGTATTGTTGGGAATCTCGAGGGAGTCATCTTTGAGATTACTCTAAACTAGTACTGTTAAAATATCTCATCAGACAAATATGGTTTTTTCTGTTCTGTGAAATTCCTTAACAGATTTTGATGTTGATGAACTTATTTAAGTAGCTAATAATATATTAAATTGTGACGAAGTGTTTACATGTTGCAATTTCATAACATGTTCTTTCGAGACCCGAGGCGCATGCCAAAATTTCTTGGGAAAATTTGATAGGACCTAGAAAAAAATGATATTTATCAAGAAAGACGTTAAAAAGTGTAATTATTTAGGAAGACCAGATATTAAAATATAAATTTAAAATACTAAAATGCCCTAATTAAATCTCTTCCATTTTCTCTAACCACTGTCTTTACGATCCATCAAGGATCCTTTTTTCATAAAGTTTTTATTTTACGCTGTTATGTTACTTTTGTATCCATGGAAATAATAAATATTTTCCAAATAAAATATATTTAGCCTTATATTTTATTCAAATTTTGATGTTGTAGTCTCATTCCATTTATACCTAATTGATTGTAAATCCTATTATGAAATCTCGTGCTACCCGAATCAGGCAAAACGGGTCTGGCAGGTTGGGCCTATGTGAATTATTATACCATGGGCTGTCCAGCTCCTACCCGCTCTCCTAGACAATCCTCAGTCTGCCCAATCATCTCTGGCTGTAACCCTTCTTTCGTCTGGCATCATCTCTGGTCTTTCTCCCACCAAGCAATTCTTTCTGGAGCTACGGCCACGGCCATCTTCCTCTAGTGTCGTCTATAGTCTTTCCCCCACGAAGCAATTCTTTCAGGAATTACGGACATCTCTGTGATGCATGGATCTTTCAGCGTCGTCCCTGGTCCTTCCCCCAACCAAGCGCTCCTCTCCTGCATTGTGAAAGATTTCATACGCGACTCCTATTTTCTCTATGCTCGAAATCTTCAAGCTGCACCCTATCCATAAATATTGATCTTTCAGCGTCGTCCCTGGTCCTCTCCATGCTCGTAGATTTAACTCTGTCACGACCGATGCTGATGAGTTTTCTGATCTTCCAAGAGGAGCCCCATATCTATTGCTGCAGCTGTTATATATATCATAACTCAACTTTCAGACGATCAGAAACCTCTGAAAGGTTTGTTATTCTATTTAGAGTGGAAGTTTAGTTCTGTAGGCATTTAGTACAGAGCATTGATGGATTCCATTGTTTGTGAAAATTATCTGTTGAATTTCATTTGCAGTTACGGAGAGATTTTAAATTTTGGATCGAATTAGTTTTACATTTACATAGTAAATGGTTTTCATCTTTATCTTTATTTGGGCATTCTGAGCTTATGGCCGTGCAGTTTCTACAAATGTATTTGATTTGGTGGCAGATATATCAGTTGCCACCGGAGTTGCAGAAGGAACCATCAGGAACTCCTACAAGGATCTTTATCCACATGTTTCGAAAACAATACCAGCCTGGTGTGCTACAGAGGAGGATCTCAAGAATCTTTGCAGCCCTTGAATTGTAGAGCAACGCAGTAGCGGCCTAATTTAGGTGCCAACGGAGCGTTGTTTTTTTTGGATGTACTGAACTATTTTACATAAAATGAAATTGCAATTCTATTTTATTTTTTCATCTAATAATTAATATATTGCTATGGCTCTACAGTTCCCTCCATTGTATGTTTTGTCTAGCCGTTACATTGCGATGAATGCTTGCGGCTAATTATTTCCTCCTTAAATGCATAAGATAGACGGCCACAATAATGTCATCCGATTTACTTCCTCAATTATTATTTCATTTACTGAACAGTTATAAGACATTCAATTCATCATATTTTAATTTAAGTACCACAACCTCTACTTGACAATGCACTATTGTTAACCTCATTCAACATTAGGCGTGTTCTCCCCTCACTTCAAGTTCTCTCATAACCTTTTAGCTGTTATTTTATATTTATATCAGCATTAGGTACATTCTCCTCTCACTTCAAGTTCTCTCATAACCTTTTAGCTGTTATTTTATATTTGCATTTACATTAGAACTACTTATTTGAAAATTGATGATTTGAAGTTGAATGAATTGAATTGATTTCATTTTATATCAGGTTGCTATGCACATTTCCTCACTTGAAATTCTATCATAACCTTTTTATTTATTATTGTGAATTTTGAATTGATAGGAATACACTTCTTCTGCCAGCCTCTTCCCACATGTATCTATTTAGATTTGATTGTTACAGATTATGATTCTGGTTGTTGAAATTTGCTTGTCATCCAAAATATTTAATCTTATTCATTATTAATAAGAATGTGAAAGCATTTTCAATTGAATTTTGATTGGTTGATTTTTACAGATTATGATTCTGGTTGTTGCATTACACTTTTTAAAAAGTTTAATATAATTTTTGATCATTTAAAAGTAGTGATGTCTATTGAAATAAAAATCTATTGAAAGTACATGAAAATTTTAAATTAAATGTAGGCCATCCAAAATCCATTTGGATGTACGAATTCCATATATGAACTAAGGAATGCTACGTTTAATATTTACAAGCTACAATTTCGACTAATCTTGAAACATTTTGGCCAGCCCCTATATTGAATTAGTCAGAGATTCCAACTGCTTTTCATCCCATTAGTGTCCAGAAAAAAACCACCTTTTGGTATATTTGATATATTGAAGCCTTAGGATACCATGCAAATTGAAATAAAATAACCATGAAGCTGCTAATAGTTATGCAAAAATCATGCATTATTAGTGTTTAAAACTCTGAATTCAACGGTTAACGAGGATTTGACTAGTATTCAAAATTCTGTGATGGGTCTCCTTTATTGCCATCTCCCAATCTAAGCCTTTTACACTTTGCTTGTCTGTTTATCTTATGCCATGTATATACCATGTATTTTGTGCAATTTATATGTAATGTTATTTAATGCCTTACTACATTAAACTTGTGTTTGCTGTAGCTTTGTTAGCGGGTGTCAATTATACCATTATCATAACATGGCAAGCACTGATCGAGACATGATAAAAGATATCAATAATAGTAAAGAGACCTGGACAATTGTTGCTCGAGTCCTTAGGAAGTGGGTTTCCTATAAGAAGGCTCCCCCATATGCTCCTTGGAGGATTGGAATGCTCCTTGTAGATGAGCAGGCGAGTTAATGTTCGTTATTGACTATTTATTTAAGATAAATAACACTCTTAAATGACAATTCAAAATTTGAATAGGGTTCAAGAATAGAAGGTTTTGCAACACAAAAGAGCTTGATTGAGCGGTACAAGAATGACCCTAAAGAGGGTAGAGTGTACCATTGTGAAAACTTTCAGATAGTTGGCAATGATGACAAGTATAGAGTGACCTCACATTGTTGGAGGCTAAAGTTCCACAATACAACATACTTTGAAGAATTGGATTTGCCCATTCCCAAAGAGTCTTTCAACTTCATTCCCATCAAGGATATTGCTGAATACACTGCAAAGAATGAAGGATTTATTGGTTAGTATATAAACATTTCATTTAAGTTCCCTTTCCAAAGTTTGCTTTTCACTGCAATAAAAATTATAATATCATATATTCTGTGTAGATGTGATCGGCTTCCTCCAGGCACTTGGGAATTTGAAAGACTTCAAAAACGAGTTTGGGACTTCGAAAACAATGACCCTGACTCTTTCTAATCAATAGTAACAACCTTAATTGTCATCACTTTATCCTCCTACTACTGTCATTCTCTAATTTTGACTAAAGTTGCAACATATTTCCTACAGTGAGAGCACAATAAAGGTGGTGTTGTTTGGTAACTGCGCTGTAAACACATATAACAGCAAGCCTCAAGGGTTGGAGCATCCTATTATTGTGGTGGTCAGATTTGGAAGGTTAAACCACCAACAAGGTACCACAAACATATTTTCATTTAAACAAAAATCAATTCCATGATCCTAACACTCTGATTGGCATATTATTAGCATATGGCCATATTAGCAACGTGTTTGAAGCAACTAAAGTTTTGTTCAACCCTAACATTCCAGATGCCCATGACCTGCTTCAAAGGTGAAGCCCCACGAAAAGATATTTGACCAATACATATTTACGATTCATAAATATTTATTGATGTTTGCAGTGACTAAAAAATCTTAATCATTTTTATTATTATTGTTGCTGCCTTGACGAAATACCTGAAGGTAGGCAGCGTTTCTCTCAACTTTCCAGTGCAGATTACCAAGTTGTAGACAATGAGCCAATGTTAACATTTCCAATAAGAATACATGTGGCTGAACTCTTCGCAATTACTAAGGTAACATGATGTCTCTTAACAATATTCAATAGTTAATTAATTAATTAATTAATTTGGAAATTATTATTGTCTCGATGTGCATTATAGTTAATAAAATTACGATCTAATTTTTCATATCTAATTCATGTTTTCCCATATTTTTAAAGGTTTAATAAACTCCTAATACTAAATTTCACGTTACATCTCACATCTAAATGCAAAATATTATTTATATTCTTGACAAACCAAGGAAGAATGATTTTTGCTATACTATATATATTTTTATATATGCTTCTTATTTATATGTATGTCTGTGCTGATTATTTGTTTCCTACCTCGATTATATATATGTCGATGATTTTGTTATATGTTCTGTATATGTTTGGTGCATATAAGATTTTACATATATTTTTCTAACAAACATAAATTATAATGTATATTTTTTGCCCCACGTCAGGATCAATAAATCTTAGCTTCTTTGTTTCTCAAATGTCGTTTTTCTTTTATCTTAGTTATCATAAGATTTTTATTGACAACATTCGTTCTTTGAAAATAGCCGTGTGAAGTTGTAACCAAGGTTTGCATCCAAAAGATTGAGATTGCTTATGGCTGGACCTACGATGGGTGCTCATGCGATCGTAAACCTGTATATGAAAATGACAAACTAAAATGCAAAAGCTGTACGGGTGATGTGTTGACTATTGAGCCTAAGTAAGATTATTTGTAAATCTCTCTACAAAATGAGCAAACGTCTACACTATTTATGTTTCAACCAATGAAAAATGAAAATGCAGCTGAAACACTATTTCATATTGTTTCATAGATTTAAGCTCCATTACACGGTGTTTGATTCAACGGGCATATGTTCAATCATATTTTTCAATCGTCTTGCTTATGATTTGATTGGCTTCTCAGCTGAGGAGTTGAAGACAAAGGTAGCAAAGGTATGACTCTTACATTGCACTTCTTGAACTCAACACTCATGTTATAACCTTTATACTTCCCCAACGTGTTCCATTTTAGGACAAAAACCCAGGTTCTTTTCCAAAAGAATTGAGCAATTGTGTGGGGAAAGAAATGATCGTCAAGCTAAAGATCAAAGAAAGCAATATTAGGTATCGAAATAGTAGTATGGGTGTTATCCAGTTCTCTACCGATAAAAAGATGCTGAAAAACTTTGCGTACTCTGCTATCGAGGTATTCAGATAACTCATCCTCATCATATCTCACTGCTCAATGTTTAAATCTAACATGTTACAACTCCTTCACACAATTATGTAGGGAAGTCAACTTAATGAATCTGAAAACATCACTTATGAGAAGGCTACAGTTGACACTTCATCATCACAACCAACAACATTGTTGTCATGTGGCATGTTGGATGTAGATAATGATCTCTTAATATCTCAGTTGCATGGCTCTCCAAACACATTGTCTAAGCGTAAAAAGAATCCACCTGATTCATCAATTGATGATGACGAGATGAGATTGTCTGCCAACTCAACTATGAAGTCCAACTACATGAAGCCCTTGAAGAACATCAAAAAGGAGAAGGAAGATGAGGACTGATTTCTCAGCCCTATCAGTGGTGACATTATCAGTTGCAGGCCTTTTTGTTTTTAAAGAGTTTCGATTGCGCAATTTTTTTTTCTTTACTTGATAGACATATTACTGCTTAACGTAAAAGACCTATCATTGAAATAATGTTTCAGTATTGATACTTTTGAAGTTCATCTATAAATCTTTCATCATCCTTTACATATAATTTACATATAGCTCACGTGAATGCCAAAACTCACGGCATTTTTAGCTGCTCGGCATATATTTACATATCACATTTTTTTTACTCATTAAGTTTTTGGAATATTGTATTACTATCAAGATTGATTAATTTGAAATGCATTATTGTTTCAAATTAGATGAGATTATAGATAACTAATTAAATTTTCATATAATTTTAACTTTCTGATTTCATCTCTCCCCAAAATTGTAAAGTTTTAATAAATTCCCAACACTAACTTATATGTTTAATTTTTCCAAGAGTCATATTTATCTAATTTAATTTAACAATTTTAGTAAGATTTTTATTCGATTTAATTGTTAAATTTGTTTAAAGAAGCTACATTTCATTTTGCTCCAACTAATGAATCTTCAAAATAACAAAATCAATAATAATATGTTTAAATGTACAAAATTAGATATTATTCATATCTATCTAATTTATATATTACTCAATAGACTAATTCAATTTCCACAATTTGTTACTATTACTATTACTCATTAATATTGATCATTAATTAACAAGTCGGAACATATCATTTTTTAATATATTAACAATAACAATAATTAATTGATGAATAACGTATTTAGCGGAAAAAAAGACATGCTATTGGACTGTTTCTAGATTTTAAATTGTGGTTCTCTATTTGTGTAATCAGCTATTTTCATTGAATAATCATATATTTCACTGATCTAATCAGGGAAAAAATCATACTCTTTAAGTCCTAAATATAAAACTCAATGAATTAATTTGAGTATATCAACGATCATAGTTAAATTATTGGTTAATATAATATATTCCCCCCAAATAATCTAAGCATCTTCCTTAATTTCCTCCCTCTTTTTCTTAATTGAAAAGAAAGATAAAGAGTGAATAATATGTTTACAATAACAAAATCAATAATAATATGTTTAAATATACAAAATTAGATATTGTTCATATCTATCTAATTTATATATTACTCAATAGACTAATTCAATTTCCACAATTTTGTTACTATTACTATTACTCATTAATATTGATCATTAATTAACAAGTCGGAACATATCATTTTTTTAATATATTAACAATAATTAATTGATGAATAACATATTTAGCGGAAAAAAAGACATGCTATTGGACTGTTTCTAGATTTTAAATTGTGGCTCTCTATTTGTGTAATCAGCTGTTTTCATTGAATAATCATATATTTCACTAATCTAATCAGGGAAAAAATCATACTCTTTAAGTCCTAAATATAAAACTCAATGAATTAATTTGAGTATATGAACGATCTTAGTAAAATTATTGGTTAATATAATATATTCCCCCCCCAAATAATCTAAGCATCTTCCTTAATTTCCTCCATCTTTTTCTTAATTGAAAAGAAAGATAAAGAGTGATTTCTCAGCTCTCTCAGTACTCACATTATTAGCTGCAAGCAAACATTTGTGTTGTTAAAGACATTCTATTACAAACATTAGTTACATGTAATAAATCAAATTCGAGTGAATGCATTAAAATCAAATGAATTAAGGAATTCGAATAATAAAGGTGCAAAGTATTATGATTTACATATAACTCACATGAAGAACAACAGTCACAACATTTTTAACTATTGGACATATATTTTAATATGCTATTCCACATGCTCATTAAATTTTTGCAATATTCTTTGCTATCAAATTATTTATCAGTTTTTTACTTTGTTTATATTTTCTACAGGATATTTCTATAAAATTCATCTATGCATTCACCTACTTCACAATCAATTATCAATTAATTACTTTGAAATTTATTACTATTTCAATTTGGATTGTAAAAACATTGATGAGTTACATTTCCACACTGATGATTAATGCATTCGTAAATGAGATAAGTCTTAGTTCGAAAATTATAATTATAATATCATGAAGAAATGTCACAGATCATTTTCAGTCGCAAAAATCATAATGTGATGGACGTTGCAGCTTAGACTTGTGTCAGTTTCCAATTACCTATTATTTGCCAATCCTAATGCGCCTATATATCCACGCCTTGCACAAGGGAGATCTTGGGATGAAGTAAGTTCATCTTCGTGCTTCACAAACTTGGTCCTATATTTATCCAAATAACTGTACTCGGTATTCCAATTTATCCTCATATGAAACGATTTAGTGATTATTGCTCAAGTTAACAAAGATCGGCAACCCAAAATTCGTGACGGTTACCTACATCGATTATTAACAAAGCTTGTCTCATAGCATCACCTTTGGAACAGGTTTCGTTTCGGAAAATGCAACTATTTAATTACACCTGTACTTAGGAATAATAAATGTATACCAAATATCAAAGAAGGTAGAGAATGATCGGATAGCGCTAATACAGGGATGCCATCATCCAAGCATAACTGACCCAATCAACAGTAAATATTAAACCACCTCGTCCGTTACAATGTAACAGCCAGCTTAGTCTGTTCGTTACTGCACAAAGTGAATCACAAAAGGTATTGAATGACCCAATTAAGCATCAATAATTGAGAGGCAAATACCACTATTGAGGAATGCAATGCGATTAACATATTGTCATGAGCTTTACCATCTTGTGCCCACACAACTACCCTCTCTTCGCATCAAATTTACTTTTTACTCACCACACAATCCACTGCCGGCATGGACAAATAGAAAGATATCAAATATCTGGAGTTTCTTTTTGTATATTATATGGATGATCCGACCGCATCCAGCATCAACCTTCAAAGCTCTGAACAAGGCAAGTTTCCCTTTACTTATCATGTTGTATGTTAGTTGTTTTCTCTCTGTCCTATTGCTAAGGCAAAATTACGTGCATCAATCAAACGACTCATGACTCTATTTAACAATGGAATGGTAGTTCATGGAGATGACGCGATACAAACCATATATGTAAAATCTTATTTTCCTTAAATATATATGTGTGTATATGGACAATGAATGTCTATATACACATAAACGACAAAAATATTATAATGGAAAATATTAGTTACTTTTTCTTTGTGCTATTTCTATAGACAGATCTTGTGCTAGTGACTGAAATAAACAATTCAACAACAGATCATACAAATCATTATATACAAGAGTCAACTTTGCACAAATCAAAGAAAAGCCGGTTTCAGCACACAACCAATGAAGATGCTAGCATTAATCCCATCCTCGATCAGCATATCATAACAGGTACTTCGCTCTTCTCAAATAAATTTACTGTGTCATTAGCAGATAAATGAAAAAATAAATAGGAATGATGCGTACTTTAATGAAAATGCCATATACAATTCCCAATTAAATCACTTTAATTTGTGCGCATAGCATGCGTGTGTCCGTTTATTATATTTGGAACACGACCTGCCATTCCTTTGCTCTGCTCTGTTAAAATAAAAAAGAGAGGCGAGCCATGACTATCTCTTGTCTGTTTTTGTGAATGGAGAAGCAAGACCTTCATACTTCATACCTTATGTTTCAAAGCACCAATAACAATCACATGAAAAAAAGAGCACACAGTCTTATAGACTAATATCTATTTGAGAGGAAGAATTAGTAAAAGATAAGTTAAACAAACAAGGTAATTTTTTTAACAAAAATACTCAATTAAAAAATAACAAATGAAAGCCGTGGCACCATTTTAGACGAATCAAGGACGCGGCTTCTTTCAAAATGAAGCAATTTTTTTTTGGGTTTTATATTCTTCATATCTTCATTCACTCTAAACTTTTTAACAAATCTTTTTACAAAATATTGACAACTTCGTGTGATTTGCCAAATTTTTGTCCACTAAATTCAGATTGCTATATTTTAATTTCTGCTTCCTCTCTAAGATTAATTTTTGCTGTGTACATTTTTTTGCAAATTCTGATCCAAAGAGTTTGTCGTTCCTCTCAAAATGTGTCAATTTTATTATTATTATCGTTTACTATAATTGCCATGCTTATTTTTAAATTCATACAATATGATTCGCTTAAACAGTTAGAAATAAATTACCGTGAAAATTAACACAAACCACATATGGTGCATTACCCCAAGTCAATAAGCAGCAAAGAACACCCAATCTCGCCAGATATTCGATCACTACATATTTATATAGATTAGCCCTACATCGGATCTAGCAAATCATAAGTCCATAATATAGGAATGATGCAACCAAGAGAAACTGTTGACTGAAACCCCAAATTACGTGCAGCCACTGGCATAGAAGTCGCCCATGACGACACACAAATGTCTGCCACCATTGAATACCCCCAGCCTCATGTGTCGGATACAGGCTACTTAGACGATGGCGACCCCGTCTACGAGTGTCAATTTTGTGGTGCCTTACTCTGGATTGGCGAGCGCCTCAAGCGTTGCTCTTCTTCTGAATACCCGCTTTTCTCAACCTGCTGTTGTCACGGCAAGGTTGTTGTGCCTTACCTTCAAACCCCACCAGACCAATTCCGGCAGTTTTTCTTCCAGAAAGAACATCCAAAATCTAAAAACTTCTTGGCCAACATAAGAGCATACAACAATATGTTTTGCTTCACTTCCATGGGAGGAAAGATTGACCATTCCCTCAACTCTCGCGGAGGTGGCCCCTACTCCTTTATCATGTCCGGCCAAAACTATCATCTCTTGGGAAGCTTATTGCCACCTGAAGGATGCCCTCCTGTGTACTCACAGCTCTATATTTACGACACGGACAATGAAATAAGAAACCGGATGGCGGCGATCAGGTGCATCCACCTTATGCTACTTATATCCTCTAGCATCATGTTCTCTTTACAACACACTTCATGTTAAACCTTACCTCTGAATTGTAGGCACCATCCAGACAAATCAGGTGTTGACGAAGCCATTGCTATGGACATTAAAGATTGCCTCGACCAGCATAATGCCCTGGTCAAGAAATACCGTATGGCATCAGAAATCCTTCGCCAAGACAACACTGCCGAAGTCAGGACACGCCTCCTCAGAGAATCAACCAATAGAAGCAGAAATTATGAGCTACCAACGGCATCGGAGGTAGCCGCGTTGATAGTCAGAGATTTTGATGAGTCATATTCCAACAGAGACATAATCATAGAAAAGAAAGCAGGCTCCTTGAAGCGCGTCCATGAATTACACAAGTTGTACTTGCCTCTTCAATATCCCCTCATCTTCCACTATGGCAATAACGGATTCATACCGAAGACGGAACATAACGATGCATCTCTTATTAGCACTAGGAAGAAAAAGTACCTCATAATAAGAGAGTACCTAGCTTTCAAACTGATGGACAGAAATATAGAGGAGTCTGTGTTACTGCACTCAAAGAGGTTATTACAGCAATTCATCGTAGACGGCTTCACAATGGTTGAGAGTGAGAGGCTCGACTACATAAGGAGACACCAGAGAGAGCTCAGGGTTGACCTATACAAAGGACTTGCTGACGCAATAACAAGGGGTGAGACAGATGCGTCCAACACAGGAAAGAGGATAATCCTACCTTCTTCTGTTACCGGAGGTGCTAGATACATGATCCATAACTACCGGGATGCAATGGCCATATGCAGATGGGCAGGATACCCCGACATCTTCTTGACCTTTACTTGCAATCCGGCATGGCCTGAGATAACAAGATTCTGCAAGAAATACAACCTCAGCCCATCTGATCGACCCGACATCTTGACGAGGATGTTCAACCTCAAACTTGCAGCACTGATGAAATGCATTAGGGAGCAAAAAATATTCGGCACAATCAAAGCAGGTAACAATACAACCTCCCTTTAATCACCTCTCCACAAAGTATAGGGGACTCAGACAATTTATTTCCAAAAATCATCCAGCCCAGTATCCAAACCCTCTCATTAATACAGACCCTATAGCTACATTATCACATTTACTTCTGTAACTTCAAAAGACACCACTATCGTGTACTGATATGTGGGTTTTCAGAGATATATACAATTGAGTTCCAGAAGCGGGGGCTGCCGCACGCACACATTATTTTGTTCATAGAGCCGTGTGACAAACCCAAGACAGCTGAGGATGTCGACAGAATCATCTCAGCAGAGATACCTGACAAGGATGCAAACCCGGTGCTATTTGAGCTTGTCACCAATTTCATGATGCACGGGCCCTGTGGCTGCTCCAATCAGAAATCACCTTGCATGAAAGATGGAAAGTGTTCAAAGTACTTCCCAAGAAGATATGCGCCACACACAACAATAGATGACGATGGGTACCCCACATACCGTAGGAGGAACAATGGCAGAACAACTGTGAAGAGGAATTCAGTTGGACAACAGATATGTCGTGCCGTACAATGCTCAACTATTACGGCTGTTCCAGGGCCACTTAAATGTCGAGAAGACAAACCAATCGAGGGCTATCAAGTATTTGTTCAAATACATCAGCAAGGGCCACGACCGTGTTATAGCAGGTATCTACCACAATGATGAGCCCGGAACCTCACGACCCGATTTCGATGAGATCTCACATTACCTTAACTGCAGATACATCTCAGCCTGTGAGGGCGCGTGGCGAATATTCTCATTCAACATCCACCACAGGTACCCTTCTGTCGAGAGATTGAGCTTCCATCTACCAGATCAACAGGCTGTTTTTTACACGGCCAACGACGAAATGCCTTCACTGATTGACAGGCCACGGGTGAAGGAGTCAATGTTCCTCGCATGGCTCGCCAAGAATAAAGAAGACTCATTCGCAAGGACCTTAACATATTCTGAGTTCCCACAGCATTACACTTTTAATAAGCAGAAGAGGGAGTGGAGGCTACGCCAGAGAGGCTTCTCTGTCGGGAGATTGGCTCACGTATCGCCATCCCAGGGTGAGGCTTACTACCTCCGGGTCCTGCTGTCTAAGACGAGAGGGCCCTTTAGCTACAGAGACATTAGGACAGTAGACAACGTCGTCCAACCAACATTCAGGGCGGCATGCTATGCGCTAGGGTTGCTTCACGATGATCAAGAGTACATCGACGCAGTAAAAGAGGCAGCATTCTGGGCTACAGGTCAGTACCTTAGGAGATTCTTCGTTAGCATGCTCTTATGCCACTACTTATCTTACCCCGCTTCAGTCTGGGAGCAAACAAAGCATCTCATATGTGAAGACCTTTTGTACATACCGCGCCACGACCCACGACATCAAGGTAAAACAGACACCACCTGAACTGTGTTCCACTCTCACAACATTCTAAACGTACAATACCCGCCCTGTAGAGACGCCAAGTGGTCACCCTGATCAGCGACATCTGTTGTTGTTAGACGTGCCTGGCCATGACATCTCTTACTTTTCTTGACCTGCAGAAATATCAATCACCGACTCAGATAGGGAGGAGGTTGGACTTATTGAGATTCAGAGGCTGCTCCTTAAGAATGGTAGGTCACTGGACGACTACCCATCGCTGCCAAAACCAAGCTCCACTGAATTCTTGGACACAACAAACAACTTGCTACTCCAGGAACTCAGCTACGACAGAGATGCTTGTGCGGCAGACGCCGTAAGGTTAGCAGCATCACTAACAGATGAGCAAAGAAAGATATTCCACGAAGTCCTTGATGCGGTCAGCAGGAACACCGGCGGGTTCTACTTCGTCTATGGTTACGAGGGCACTGGCAAGACTTTCCTATGGAACGCCCTGACCGTGGCTGTACGAGCAAATGGCGATGTGGTCATCAACGTCGCATCGAGCGGAATAGCAGCGACTCTATTGCTCTCAGGAAGGACTGCTCATTCGAGATTCGCGATCCCTATCGACATAAATGAGGACTCCACATGTAATATTAGCCATGGTTCTCCTGTGTCTCATTTACTGCGGTCCGCAAAATTAATCATCTGGGACGAGGCGCCAATGATAAAACGGCATTGTGTGGAGGCTGTAGATCGATCATTAAAGGATATAATGAGGTGCGACCTCCCATTTGGTGGCAAGTGCGTCGTCATGGGGGGCGATTTCAGGCAGATCTTACCTGTCATACCAAAGGGATTCCGTGCAGACATTATAAGCGCGGCTATAAACTCATCCGCACTTTGGCTGTCGTGCAAGCTGTTCAAGCTCACTAAAAACATGCGCCTGCAGTTTGCAGCTAAGGCATTAGACCAGAAAAAGGTCAGTGGATTCTCCAGATGGTTGCTTGATGTCGGTGATGGTACAATTGGGCTGCCCCATGAGGGCACGACGGACATTGAGATCCCAGTCGATTTCCTCATCACTGACTCCCTTGACCCTATCAACTCCATAGTCTCATCTACATATCCCACACTCCAACAGAACATAACACATCCAAACTACCTCACAGAAAGGGCGATTTTAGCCCCCACAACCGATGTCGTCGACCAGATAAATGATTACATGCTGTCGCTCCTCCCTGGAGACTCCGTTCATTATCTCAGCTCTGACTCCATCTCTAGCACCGATCAGGATAGCAGCTCATTCCAGGATCTATACTCCCCGGAATTCCTGAACACAATAAATTGCTCTGGGATGCCACCCCATAAGCTCTCTTTGAAGGTTGGAATACCGGTCATGCTGTTGCGAAACATCGACCAGTCTGCAGGCCTGTGCAACGGAACGAGGCTTCGTATCACGTATCTGGGCAAGAACTTCATCAGGGCGGTAACGTTAAATGGAACGAGCACAGGTGACCAGGTACTCATCCACCGCATGGACATGAATCCTTCAGAGACCACCCTCCCGTTCAAAATGACGAGACGACAGTTCCCGTTCATAATCTCTTTTGCGATGACCATCAACAAGAGCCAGGGACAGTCATTAACGAACGTCGGTTTGTACCTGCCCAGGCCGGTGTTTACACATGGACAGCTGTATGTCGCATTGTCAAGGGTCAAGAATATGGACGGTCTCAAAATATTGATCCTCGATTCTGACAGTAAACCCACGAATGTTACTCGGAATGTGGTCTACAGGGAAGTCTTCCAGAATATGAATTCGGAATGACCTTATTCTTGCCGCCATGGGCCGACTGTCGTCTTCACACTATTAGTATGAGGACTTACTTCGTTAAAATTACACAGCTATGTCATGTGACGCATTTTAATAAAATGAGAATTATTTACATTTGAGCAGCTCACACACACTACTTCACACTTCACTACCTCTATTAGTCTTCAATTAATCAAATAGAATAATGTGTGCTTAGCAAAGAGCATCCGTAAAAAAATAGTTACACGGCCTTAATATCCTATCAGGAGGTCTTCCAGTGATGTTCCTCGTAGTGTGGTATATTGGGAAGTCTTTCACAATGTTCGTTCGGAGTGACCAAATCATCCATTTCGCGAACCGCCTTTCAACTTCATGTTATAAGAATGACAGCTACCACTATTACATTACATTACATTTACAAATCTATAACTCTGGGATAAACTTACATTTATGAACTTCACCAGATAACAATCCTCGCCTTCTATAAACTTACAGGTAAAACAAGAACAACAATATGAAACCCGCAAGAAATTACGTGTGTAGCAACCACCCGTGCAACGCACGGGGAGAACATCCTAGTTTATACCTAATTGATTGTAAATCAAATAAATACTACTTCTGGTCTTATTTATAAGAGCCGGTTGACTAATTTGAGGAGATTAAGAAAAAAAGTTAAGTTGGTTATTTATAATAAATAGGTGTTATCCTTTCTAAAATATCATTACTAATCAAGTGTATTGACTAGAATTATTAATGTTAGAATGACTGTCTTGGAAAAAAATGCATAAATATGAAACAAAGTGGATTGGGATCTTATATTTAGGATCAAAATAAAAGTCAAATAAGATTTTATATTAAGGACAGCAAGTAGTACATTCAAGCTGAGTAAAACCAAATAATTGTCTGCCCGAAGTTTGAAGATTGAATTGACAAAAAGAAAATAGCAACAACAAAGAGTATTAATAAGCCACATAGATCATCCAGTGGTATATTTGAGGTGCTATATCCAAATATTATTCAAATGGGATTGGACCCCTCCAGTGTGGATATAGACGATGAGGAATGGGAGAGATGGGAAAGAATGATGCCCTGGTGTGAGATATTATTGAATATTTAGTAATTAAATTGAATTAAATTAAGATATTATTAGTGGCTAGAGAAAAGATGGGAGATTTGGTTAGGAATACTTTAATATTTTTAAATTTATATTTTGGTATTCGGTCTCGTAGGTAATTATACTTTTTAAGATCCTCTTTAATAAATATTAATTTCTCTAGGTTCTTCTCTCTAATTTTCCCAAATTTCCTTTGGTGGCCATGGCTTAGCTCTGCATACTTAAAAAGAGAAAGGATAATGAGAAGATAAAATTCAATTTTCTATTCGGAAATAAATCGTCAGAATCGGAAGTTTGTGGCTTCAATTTTTCCGTCTTTCCTAGACTGGGATTCTGACATAAATTATAAACCCGCCATGAAGCCATGGATTCCACCAACATGCTTCTTGAACTAATATGTGAATTTCATGTACCGCAGAATCTAATTTATGATCTATCAAATTCATGGCTTATCAATAACGCAGCTTGCTATATATATAAATATATATATACATGATATATGATTATTTACATATCTTGAATTAAAATGTGAGATCTTGAGCTGAACTAGAGTGCAAGACGACCTGGTTATGATTCTGTGGCAGCCAACCTCTATCAATTTCACTACCACCCCGTATAGTTAGATTTTTACAGTCTGAGGATTGAAGTAAAACAAGTTAAGCCAACTAATTGATGTAGCAGGATACTACGATACTCCTTCCGTTCCTTATTATAAGAAACATTTGATGCTTATGGCATGTTACTATATATAAAAGACACTTAAAAGTTATTTCTACTTTTTTGTGTTGATTTCCTATTTTATCCATATTTATTGTCTCCAACTCACACTCTCTCTTCCTCCCACTTCTCTCTCTTTTAATAATTTAATTGTTCTCTCTCGTGCTCACTCTCCTTATTAATAAGGGTATTTTTGAAAAAAAAAATTATACTTTTCACACATTAATTATTTTTAACTAATTTTAACTATTTTTTTATCAACGTAATTCAGTTATTCGTCTTTTATAATAAGGAACAGAGGGAGTATCTTTTTTGGAAATGAACCAGCGCAAATAGTTATTGAAGGCTGCTAATATTAGCCATTATCAGTTTTATTCCTCGAATTAATTTCAGGTCATGATGGAAAGCCACCATCGACACAGTTGAATTCAGAAGGAGGGGTAAAGGAACCCTTAAGGAAGACAAATTGATGTTCATTTTGATCCTTACAAAGAAAAAATTACATGTACATTCTAAGAATCTTGGGTTCATTGACCAACGTTTCAGAGAATGAAGAGTATATTGGCAATTGCAAAGGAAAGAACAAAATTCTAATCTCGTCCAAGTTGGCTAATCCTCGACATTTCAATGAAATCTCTATCCAACTGGAATGTAGCGGAATGAATGAGGAGAGATTAAGGACCAGAGAGACTTGGTCCTTCCAAATGTATCAGAATTCCGCCAATGGTCAGATGTCCTTCAACATCATTATATCATGTTAATATGCTTGAGAGAGATACAAATTTCAGAAGAGTATATACTGAATACCTGCCATTTACACGTCTTTATAAATATTCAACAGATGCCGAAGCTCCAACTTCGAAAAAATAGACAGCGTCAGTCACATATAAATTCATTCGTCGTGCCCTTTCAGGTAATTGCCGTGCAACAAGAAACAAGTCCAGCAAAACACTTTACTGTCATTGTCAGGTTTCCGTTTTCTCCAAAATGGAATGGCATGATAAATCCAACTCACGCATCTGGCCCATGCCATATGCAGCAATTAGTAGAGCCTCAGCCCTTCCTGCAACAAACACAGATTAGTCACATATACAATCGCACATGATAAAATACTTAGTAAGCGGTAACCAACAGAATCAATAGGCACAAATACGACATATTGTAGGGAGTGTTGAAAAGTTAATAGCTTAAATTAGAGCTCATAACAGATGAGAGACGATCCATATGAAATTTATAATTCAGGGCACTGCAGGTCTCCAGAACAAGCTTTCAACAAGAATCATAACAGCACTGAGGGATGCAAAAGAGAAATCCGCAATTTAATCAGCAGATAATATTTAGCCTACCATGCCTCCTATACTATTAGTGAATCAGCTATACTATATCTTCAGTTGAAGTTTTAACACTGTTCACGTCATGCAGAATTTTATTTCTTATCTGTTAGTCTTAACTACCTCCCAATAGCTATTAGATTTTGGATGGTCTGTATTTTATACTTAGGCCAGAGAACCTTTTAGACAGGCATAATGTTTGATCCTCAGCTCATTCTTGTAATCAAAATCAACATAAGACTGTAATGTATATCTCTATTCACTGTCCAGCCACTGCCAGTTGAAGAGGCCCTTTGTATGGAGGATTTATTAAAAAGGACTTTATATTCCTCGATTAACTTCCTCATTTAGTGGCCATTGGATAACTTCTAGAAATAATAAAGAAAAAGATACTGAAAAACTCGGTAACATGGGAGACCAAATAGTGATATCTTTATTCAGACCAATAAAAAATTTAGCACTACGGCTCTACAAACTAAGGAGCTCAATGTCGTTTTTAATTAAAGAATAGGCAGAACTTTGAAGATAAACATTGCATTAATTAACAGCGGAAGTAATGTTTAAACTTTCAAACGATGCAGGATTCTAGGGTTTTGGAATGTCCTGTTCAAAATCCTGCTATTACACATTTCCAAAATAATCTTGTGTGACCACTATAGCAGTTGAAAGACAGACTGTAAGTAAGACAAAAATACCATGATCCTTTTTCCTTCCCAATAGCGAACTCAGTGATGGAAAAAAGGTAGATGCCACTCTCCTACTATCATCCTGTAATGTCAGAGTTTCAATTGTTATAATTCAAAAGAGGCAACAGTGGAGGCAAAAATTAATATACACATACATATCTAAATATATCAAAATGTGCAAAATTTACAAGTTTCAACTATCAACAAACTAAATATATATATTTGCTCCTTATCATGGAGTTCATGAAAATATGAATAAACTTAAGATAAAGTTGCATTTAGGAATTAGCGAAAGCCAATTATTGTTAGGACCAAACAAACCTTTGCAGCCCTACTTCCATTGAGTTCAAATTTGGCTTTCCAAGTATTAGATGGCACTGGAACAACAGAAAATCCAGAGGAGACTAAGATCCCAATCCATAGCCCATACCCAAATCCTCCGCTCCACCAACCCTTGATTACAAAGACAAGGAAAAAATTCAGAAGAAAAAAAACAAAGATAACAAATATTTCTGATTTATATAGCAATAACTCCACCTACATATGATACTCCCCCAGTCCTTAATATAAGATCTATTTAATTAATTTGATTAGATTAAGGAAGTTAGGTAAATTAGTTAATTATAAGAAATATGAGATGTTTTTCCTAAAACACCATAATCATCTTCTTTAATATCCCCTCTCCCTCTTCTACTTGATTATGGTTGAGAGAGTGTCTATAGGGATAATTTAGAAACAACTGATAAATATAAAAAATAGGTCTTATATTTAGGACCAAAATCAACTCAACAATTAGATCCTATATTAAAGACCAGAGGAGCATTATAAAAGCATTCTGCACACATCTAATACTCATTCAGTTTTAAAGATTCGCCATTATCAATTTCTGGATAACACTAACTGTAAGTTAGCAAACAATACTTGGCTCAAACAGTCAAACTTTATCATAGACCATTTCCAGAATCCAAATGGGAAAATTACAGATAAGTGGCACGCAAGGAAATTAATTACTAACAGGTATCCTGAATTTGATTTATTACTAATAGGTCCTTTGGAAACCTTGGGCAAGAACACACCGAAAAAGTTGTAGATTTCTAAGTTTGACCTGTAAATATTGCAAGAGGACTCGCAAATAATTCTCAATTAAACCCCCTATACCATAAAATTGGGAAACAAATTTCACATCTGCAATATTTACGAGTCAAACCTGGAAATTTACAGCTGAAGATGTGTGTTTATGCACAAGTTCTCCAAAGGATTTATCAATAATAAGTTAAATTTTTTCCGTTTTTTGGGCTCTGCCCTCTTTAGTGTCAAAAAAAAAAAAGTTAAATTTAGGAGAGCTATTAGTAATTACTTTCTTTGCCTAATTTGTAATTTTCTTAATCCAAATTTCTTTGACTGGTTCTCTCAGAGGTCAGTTTTTGGGTAGACCCGACCATGAGCTGATTCCTGGCCAGTCCATTCTGGTATTTATTTGGAACTATCATTGATTCAATAGTAATACCAGACAAGTATCTGATTCTTAATAGCTTGCACAGATAAAATACTCTAGGGAGAGAAAAATTGCAAGTTTTGATCAGTTTTGGAGACCAATTACACAAGAAATAATGTATAGAGGCAGTGATCAAATCAAGATAGAGTACTTAAATCCAAGACTTCAAAAAGTAATTTTGAGTGGAAACCTGAAATGCTAAGAACTTCGGGAGAATCTTTTGGCCTTCAAGTAAACTGGTATTGTAAATAGCACTCCTTTAAGGTAAACAAGGGTTCATTTCCTTGAGACTCAAGTAACACTCTTTATCAATATATTGTTTGGATTAAGGATGTTAACTCATGCTAAAACAGCTGGATGAGAATGAGTTTAACATTATGAATTAAGGATTACAAGCATAAGTGAATTTGAAGGCATGAGGGGCCATGAAAGGTGTTCTGGCCGAATCAAAAGAGGGAAAAAAAATGATTACACTCAAGGACTCTTTAAGGGAGATTTCTTCCCAACAGAGGAAAGTTAGTGCAAATTCATGTGAGCCATGCCAGGGCCAGGTGGCCACCTCATCTGCATGAATGATTAACTCAATGAAGCAGAAAGTTGTAGACAAACAGAAGTGTCAATTGAACAGTTCAAAAAAAAAAAAAAATCATGTTTAGAGGATAAGGGAATACACCCACCTGCTTCCCATCATTTGGAAATGGAATTGATTGTTCTATATAAGCGGTGGTACCTAATGAAAGCAAGAGTCAATTTCCAAAAGTCCAAGAATAAACAGTGTCAAGTGTCAAAATAAATATATTAGAAAGGGAAATAATTCTGACAAATTACTGCCACAAACCGAGGGTATGTTACAGAGTGCATGTTATTCACTTAATCAAAGAAATAAGAGAATGGATACAGAACCATTCAGCCAAAGACATGAACCAAAGAAATCAGTAGATTGAAATATGCAACAGGACAAGCAAAGTAAAATTTGAAGTGCAACCAGTTGAGACCACTAAAATCATTTATTAGCATTTTCAGATGCATAAAAAATAAGAACTATCAATTTAGCTTTTCATCCGCAATTAAGAATAAATCAATATAACTTCCACTCATCAGATTTTATAAAGCTCAAGGTTTGTGAAGTGGGGAGAAAAACAATAAAACAGTTTCAAGTAGTAAAATCCCACAATGTAATTTCAAGCATATGTCTATTTAACTAAATCATTTCCAGTACATCCATGACTTTCTTTAATGCTAAATTGAATATTCTAAAAAGTTTATAAAGGATGGAAGCAAAATATTTGTTGACAAAAACAGAAATACATAAGAATAAAAGGACCAAGATTCTTATAAGAAATCAATCAAAGGGAGATTATGTCAGCTGTAATGCAACGACTGAAGTGAATCACACCCCGAAGAAAAAGAATAAAAGAAAAGGAACTCAAACATGATGAGTAAAATCTACAGCAGCAAGACAAAACAGTAGCCGAGGTTAAATGAAAACTGGGTTAGCACAGCAGAAATAATCTGGAAGATATGGCATGCATCTGTTTAAAGATAGAGAGGAAATTTAGCATACCAATAGGCGCATCAAAACTACGAACCAACTGAACAATAGATTTGGCATCTAAGCGCTTTCGAGTTCTTTTGCCAACAAGCATTTGTACATGTGGAGAGTCAAATACCTGTAAAAGATACAATGATTGCACACATAAAAAACTTCTCAAGATATGAATGGATAAAAAAAACAGAACATAATCTACACTATAATTGACTAAAACATGAAAATCGAGACAGAGGTCCTAAAGACAAGTCAGGAATGGTAAAAGGAAATAAAATTTGGCAGTCAGAAGCCATTCTCATACATCTTGTATGCTTTCACTGACTCTTCCTTGATTGATAAGATGTAGTAACACCCCAGACGGAAGTCAACGTCATTTTTTAAAAATAAGAAGAAAATATATTAAGAAGGATGGAAGATACTAAAGAAGATGGGGTATTTTCCAAGGGAAAAGGACAAAGACCTTGATAGAGTAATAAAAGAAAATAAACCATCATCAATTATCCTCTATATACAAAGCTTCTCGACAACTAAGTGACAGGACAGTTTCCAGCATCAAGCTTACTTCAGATTAGCATATAATTTTGTTGTACAATGCAATATGCACACGGTATTCCCCCTTTTCTCCACAGGTAGTCAAAGTCAAACTATCGTCCATCCATAATGATGGGCAGTAGGGATATTAATGGTTCTCAGTCCTTGCACTGGAAGCCAGAATCCAACTCATCATCTCAACAGAAAGTGATATTCTTTATTTACCAATAATCTCATTCATAAATAAATGTCCAATTCCAGCATAAATACCACACTCCATTAGGCAGCTTCGCTAGAAAGCACGTATATTGACAAAATCCATTCGTGCCTGCAACCAATATGTTGAACAGGCACACATGAAGAACAAATGGGGGCCAAATTGAAAAAGAAAAATATATCTTTGAAGGACGAAAGCGATAATTCCCTCATTTGTTTAAGTTGTTCGTCGACGAAAAAGTACTCTTTCCAAACATTTCGCTAACCACAACATGTAGTACTGCATCCAACCGAAACAGAAAAAACCCTGTCACCTGAGCAGAACAACCGGATTCTTCGTATTTCAGGAGCGCCACCGCACCAGAGACATCTGGGTCAACTCCAATGACCCACTCCGAACCCTCATTGCCGTGGTTCAGGTCCGTTCCTCCATCCATCAGGCTAGTCTTTTCGTGCAAAGGGCAAGATAGTGAAGCCAACCAGTTCTTCTTAAGCTCCGCATCAGACTCCTTTACCTTACGCCTCACACCGTTCCTCCGAACGGGTTCATCAGGAATTACGGTGAGAGAGTGATTTCGAATACGAAGGTGGGTTTTATCGAAAGTAAGAGAAGAGTTAGAGAAAGATTTGCCTCTGTCATTGACGGAGGTGAAAGAAATTGAGATTTTGAACAGATGAGAGACTGAGTACATAGAAGGGACTCGGATTTGGCGGCAACCTAACAGTGTGTAATGCATGAAAATTAATCCCTGAAGTAGAAGGAGGAAGATGGTGGAGTGAGTCACTGAGTTGTTATTTCAAAGAAGTTGTAAAGCTCTACGTTATCACTTCAGTCAGAAGACCCCCTTCCGTGGATTGCATAGTTTGAAGTTTGAACAATGTCCGAGCCAGGCGCCAGCGGGAAAGGGCGGGGAAGAGACTCACTCTCGATGAAGTACTTGAAATCTGCCTATCCAACGAATCTGGGGTGTTCGGGACTCTCATAGTTATTTGAAAAAAAAAAATGTATTTTTATATGACAAAATTCTTTTTACATATTTATATTTGAATTAGTATTTAAAATTACTTATAACTATATATTACATAAGTCGAGACCTCTCACATAATTACCGCATATTCCATAAAGTATAAATCATTCTATATGGTCATATTTCATAAAATCACTTCCGAACAACTATTCCAAGCACCTCTCAAATTTACGTTCAAAATTATATTTTCCTTTTCGGCTGATTGTTTGATTTGGCTTAGAGGAGTTGTCTGCAAAATGGCATTAAGATTAAGAAAATAATTTCTATAAAAAAACAATTAATATATTATATTATCTTCGATCCTTAATATGAGAGCCAAATAACTAATTTGAGAATATTAAGAAAATTAGTTAAATTAGTTATTTGTCAAAAATAATCTTTCTAAACTATCATCTTCAATCACATACATTAGATTATTAGAATTATCTCTTAGTGAGAGACTTTTGCAGTTAATAGGGATATGTAAAAGAAAAAAGAAAAAAAAGTAAATTAAGATTTTATATTTAGAATTAATTTCAATCCCTTAATTAGCTCTAAATAATAGTATATATTAAAATTAAATTTGTTCTCATGTTTTTGAAAAATTCAATAAATTTAATAACGTTTTTTTGAGGGAAAATGACACAGGTCCTCTATAAGAAGATTAAGTCCCCAGAAAAGAAAATGCTATCTAACCCCCGAAATCACAAGCTCCATGGTTCATAACCTAAAAAAATACCGGAAAAAAACAAATGGTTGAAAAGTCTTTAGCTTTTTATTTGCCAATGATAATGTAAATGTCTTTACTTTGCAATTTTATCCCTAATATTATTTTTCAGGTGAAATTTTACTAATGCTCTTTTTAGTGGTAGAATTTTACATATAATCTTTTTATAGGGTAATCTTAGGGGTAAATTGCTTTCAAAGATAAGGGGTTTAATTAGAGATAAATGTGAGAAAAATATGTAATACTTTTTTAATTTTTGTAAAACAACTTGCCTGATTGTTAAAATTTTATAGAACATAACTTATATATATTGGCAGTGGGAGTATTTTGCAAATTTAATGATCTATCTTATTTACGAGTTTCTTCTCATCATCTTGTTCGTAAGAAACTCACCTTTCATTTTCCCTACCTTTAAATAACTTTAAAAAAAATAATTTTAACTTTCAAGTAATATATAATAAATAACATAAAACTCAGTAACAAATTTTTCAAAAAAAATTCAAAAACCATTCAACCTTTTTTTTTTTGGGTTACATCAACCTTAACTTTTTAAATATTAAACCTTTATGTTCTACTTTTGGGAAATTGCTGGGTGCTGGCTAGGTTTTAGAAATTATATAAAACTATTTCTTTTCAAAACATAAACAATGTAATTAAAAATGGAAAAACATATTTTGTTTAAATAAGTATAGCCAACAACCACAATGTTAATAACAAATATGTTAACCGTAAACTGAATGAACAAGATTATGAAACGAAAGAAATATGACATTTTTTACTATAAACTTGACATTTATTCTGACAAACTCGAACAAGAAAATAAAGCAACTTGCATTCCTGGGAAATGAATAGTGAGACAAAACCAAAACAGAGAATGCTAGAATGAGTAACTGCAAGAGCTAAATACATTAGCATCGAATACCAAATATTTTATCAATGCCAGAACTATAGAACCATTCTATTTATCGTGGAATGAATGTTCTACAACATGGGTCCATAAATGAGAAGTAGTTTACTAATTTACATTGTGGAAACCACACGAATATGCCTAAATATTCTCATGATGAAAAAGGAGTGAAGGAGGAGGAGGAGAAAAGGGAGAAACTCAAATCCAACTTTCAAATGTTTGCTCTCAAGTTGCTGATTCACAGAAATGATCTACGTGTAACTGTTCTCCCAGACAACTTGACAACCAACACTTTTGGCCTCACAGAAAGCCAACTTCAAACTCTATATACCTCCTTTTGTCAGAGCTTCAGTCTCCCAAAAAAATAAATAAGCATCTTTCTTGAAATCATCATGCCTAGTTCTGATATGATGTGATTCCTCCTATCAGTCCAAGATTTCAGACGGCCAAAGTTGTTTCCACATGGAAATCTCATGCTCATTGTCAATCTTCCGGATTCCGCCATAGAAACCATCAGCCTCATTTCCCTCTTCCCTATGATCCTTCCTACTGACAGTTGCCCGTCTCCATCGTGAGCCAGCACAATACTGGTTGAACTCCAAGACTATTGTGTCTGCAGCCAATACAATCAGTATCAGATAGTCAGTTTGAGTCCCAAGAACCTCTCTTTGGGGTTCAGCTTAAAAGAAAACAAAGCCTATGTCATGATTGCTTATTGTAAGAATTGTTTTTGGCTTGGTAAAAGAACTTCTTCTAATAGACCACCAACTTATCAACTTCCTACAGTGGAACAACTTGTTCCACAAAATCTTAAAACAATTCAACAAATTGAGGCTGCCCTTACCATCATTTTAGTTGTGCTACGGGTTTCCGTGTTGCAATCATTTGCATTTATAACTATACAAAATCTTACCTAATGAGAAAGTGATATTGCCAATATAGACACAAAAATCAAACTCATATGAAGAGAAGTTTTGGCAACAACTTCATTTCTAACCAAACAAATTACCAATTGCTCTTCTCAACACGGGTATTTGATCTAATATTTTAGAATATATCACGAGGCCAACCCAATAGTCGCATAAAAATTTTTTGGAACTGAACTTTAGCTCATACAGATTCGAGAAGGACGTAAAAATAATATCATTTCTGAAAACTTCGGCCAAGATATATGTACAAACAGATATATTTGGAACGCTTACAAAGAGCTTGCAGGAACATGCATATATTGACAGTACACAGGCAACATATGTACAATTTTTTTTCTTTGGGCCGTGAACATATGTACAATATTTCAAGCATTATGCCTATCCAAAGCCCAAACACCCAACACAAAAGCTTGGCATGATGATAAGATGAAAAACAAGTTCGTCAGCTACAACATAATTTCAAGGGTATAAAGGTATCAACATTGATATTACAAACATAAACATGATTCACAATTAGAGCCAACCAAAAAGTGACAAGGGTCATCCACAGCAAAAACAATCTTAATTCATAGTCAAGATCCTGACAGTTGATTCATTCAGTTGACACGTGATATTTATCTCTTAAGTCGTTTTATTATTTTTCTCAGCCAAATTTTGGGTCAATCCAGACAAGCTTACCAAGAGATCATGTAAAAGAAGAGGGAGGGGGAAAAAAAGGAACAGAGTTTGGAAGCTTATAATGACCAAAACTCATTGAAGCCCCAATAAGAAGTTCATATTGAAACACAGTCTATATTGATGTGCAAGCGCAAGTGATGACATACCGACCGCAAATATCTTAGGGGCCAATCAAACAGTACAACAATCTTTATTCATAACTAAAGCCAGCCAAAAAGGAACAGAGAAGGGGTCACTACTCAGACAAACAATCTGTATTCACAGCCAAGAAGTTGCAGCAGTTCATTTCATTAACTGCAGCATAATAATTTTACTCTTAAGTCGTTCAGTTATTTCACTTATCCTGAAGGTCTAAGTCATTCTGGGTACGATAATCAAGGCATGAGGGGATAAAACAGAATTTGGAAGTTTATAATAACCAAAACTCATGGAAGCCACAAAAGCAAAGAAGATTCCTGTTAGGATCAAAACACAGCTATAAAAGAAATTGGGTTCCTTTGACATAGTTACATAGTTAGTCATAAAAGAATCCATTAAGACAAGATTATTATTGTGTTGATGGAATTAATGACATACTGAACATGATATGTCTGGGGGAGTGGGGACCCATCGAACACCATAAAAGGGAAGGTCATTGCACAGGCAAAACATACTTCGTTCACAGCCAAGAAGCTGCGACAGTTCAGTTAGCTGTGGCGTGGTATTTTTCTCAGGCAAAAGTCTTGGGTCACTCCAGACATTGTTACCAAGTGATCGGAAAAGTAAGGACAGAATTTGGAAGCTTATAATGCCCAACCCATGGAAGCCCTACGTGCATAGAAGATTCTTCCTAGAATTGAAACATAAACTATAAAACAAGTTGGATTCTTTCAATATGGTTGTCTAGTTGGCCATAAACGATCCACTAAGATGTAGATTATTAATATGCTCATGGAAAAGATGACACACTGACCATAATAGTCTTGGGGACCAACCAAACAGCATAACAACTTTCACAATTAAAGCCAGCCAAACACGAAAAGGCAAGGGTCACCGCACAGGCAAAACAATCTTTATTCATAGCCAACAAGATGTAGCTGTTGATTCCGTTTACTAAGGAATGATGTTTTTCTTTTTAGTCGTTTTATTGTTTTTCTGTAGCAGGACTCATGGTTCACTCCAAGCATGATTCCGAAGGGATCAGGAAAATAAAAGTAGAATTTGAAAGCTTATAATGACCAAAACTCATAGAAAACAACATGCAAAGGTTCCCACTGGAATAACAGACTATACAAAGAAATTGGGTTCGTTTAACATAGTAGCCAGCTTGGCCATAAATGAATCCACTGAGGCACAAATTATTAATCTGTTGGTGGAAATGACGACACACTGACCATGATATGTCTTGGGGACCAATCAAAAAGCGTAAGGTGGTCCACTTATAGATAAATTATATTCAGGAAAGAGACCTAACCCAATTAATAGAGTGGTATGTCATCCTTAAACTTTTAAGTCTCTTTTTATTTATTTTATGGTTCTCTGAAATATATAATATCATAATGGTTGATTAAAAAATATAAAGCCGTAATACAGCAAAGTCTAAACTTTAAGAGCCACTGCATTCTCTTGTCCATAAAATTCACGACATGTTCTTTTTTTCTAATCACCATAGATAGAAAAAGAACTAGATTGCAGCAGCAGCAAATCTTATCCCACTAAGTAAGCTCAGTGAAAAGAACCACATTGCATCTTAGGAAAATTATCCAGTTAAATTAAAAGCCCATAATTTAAATGAGTCCAATGACCATTTCTCCAAGTTCCAACCACCTTCAAAATCCATGAATTAGCCTTTTGCTTATCCTCTAGGCAATTAATATAGCCAAAATATAATTTGCTTAGATGGAGAAAAAGAACATGGTTTAAATGAATAGTCATGGCAATCATCTGAAAAGAAAATGAGATTGACTCACCACTGTTATGACATCGGCAGTAAGTTTGATTCCCATCACATGACTCCAGGTGACCAACAACACCATACCACCAACCTGCCATAATAATGCATCTCATCACACAGTAGTTCAATGACAAATCCCAATAAGTGAGGTCAGCTACATGCAGTAATTCTTGTTAGGTTAATATGGTACTATTCATATGCGACTAACTAAAACTCTTCAAGATGTCTTATTCGACTACACATAAGAAGATTACATTAGAAACCAATTTTCTGCTGTACAATAAGAGTACATGTCAGAGGAAACTTCCTTCTAATCACGTTGCTGATGATTTATTAGAAATTTGTCTCTCTTTTCTCCTCCAACAACGAATATCAAATCTATCAAATATTGATGAAATCTGTCTTGCTAGTCTCAATTAGATCCTTCTCCTATTTACAAGTGCTAGTGAGAGGTCAAATAGAAGACAATCAATTTAAAGAAAGGAACAAACCATAAGGAAATTCTTTGTTTCTTCTCCACTGAATCTCTATGTGATCACCCGGACACAAATCATTCAAACAATTAGAGATATGAAGATCACGTGGAGGAGTATCAACAGGTGAGGCTCGCAATCTTTCCCATGGAATGCCATTCTCTATTGCAACTGGCTTACTTCCATGAGGTGGATACCTGTCAATAGACAACAAATCGATACTTAGGCCACCAGATCTATGTTAATTTTTTCCCTCCTTCAAAATTTAGTTAAGCAAACTATGGTGCAGACTACATAAGATTGATACCCATGTATAATCACTGTGAATCATGCCTATTTACCTGGCTTGGAAGGTGTCAGTGCGTGGATCATAACTAAGCTCAGCATCATAGCAGGATAACATGAATCCAACATGACCATTCTACAACCAAAAAAACAAAAAAAGAGGATAAATCTAACTTGTGGGACCACATAATTCTTTGAAGGCTGAATTCCATCGAAACCAAACCAAATTCTCTGATTTTAGAGGAAATTAAAAAGATTCTTTCAACAGAAAAGAACAAAAGGGATTCATAAGTAATACCTCCCGGTTATAGACCTGAGCAGGGAACCAAAAACTGCCAGATTCAAGAGCAAGATACCATGTCATGACTGAATGAGTTGGCACAGGACTCTGCTGTTTGTTGCTGCTATTGTTTGAAGCAACCTTCAATAATCTAATCCATGAAAAAGGCCACAGACTAAAGGGAAGAAACCTCAATAACCCCCTTTCTTTGGCTTTTCTAAGAGCCACAACATCATCGTGTTTTGAAGCAATATGACATTGCCACTGCCTGTAAGCAGCTGGACCAATAACTCTACTCCATTTCTGTTTCATGTGCCTTTCCCAGAAATAATCACTCACACATCTCTCCCTCAAGGAACGGCAAACACCAGCCATTTTACAAAGCGCCGGCGGAGACAGCCTTTCAAGAATGCATTCCAAGACCAGGTCTGGCAAGTCCAACACTGACAAGTCATGTGTGTCCTCCTCAAAAACGCTAATCTCTGCTTTCGTTGTAGCAAGGGTCTTGTTAACTAGGCACATCCTTGAAGGAATTTGGCTGATCAACCTATAGAATGAGATTAAAGACAGGTCTTTGTAAAACAAAAGGGAAATCAGCCTGATCTCACTCGCCCATGGTGGAAGAGACTTGAGAGGATGAAGAGACTTTAAAAAAAGGAAGAAAGAGAGACAAGTAATGAAGTAGAGAAGCATTATTATTAGGAAAAGGGCGAAAATCTTAAATCTTTAAGTTGGGTCACACTTGAGTTTTGTATATTATGAATTTATAATGGAGAGAAATGGTCAGTATAGCAGCAAATAGAGGAGGGAGAGAGGGACCCAAACTAATGAAAAAAGGTCTGAGCAATTTATGGAGTTCAAAACACCTTCTAAGGATGGAGAGTAATAAATTTCATTGGCTTCAGCAAAAGCCCACCATAACCCAATGGTGGGCCTCCTTGCCAACGCTTGATTAGCAACGAACTAGGGATGAAATAAGCCTGCTTCAACAGTTATGGCATCAAATAAAGCTTATTCCGATGATATGTGACACCTGGAAGATGGAACAGGGAATCAAAAGATGAAAGCGGGCAAGTGTCTAGATAGAAAGTCCCATACACATACACAATCTCGAAAATCTAAATCTGTGGGAGTGAGTGAGAAACATTTGGATCTTCAAACGATCTGGGAAGTTGAAATTATTGCAATTCCAGATTCCGGCACACCCAACAAAAACACCCCGAGATTTGTTGCAGAAACAAATGGGAACAAATGAGGGAAAGGATGAACGAAGACGAACCTTGGGTTGAGTGATTGTGCATACAGAAAAGATTGGTGATTGTGAAGATGAGGATGATGACTCTGATGAATGCGAAGGAAGGAACGTGTGGGATCCTCCCTTCGCACCAACAAAATTCTTCACCAGCCTTTCGTTCGTTTCCGAACCTTTCTTGGATCGATCTTCAGGTGATGAAGAACCATGAACGGAGTACCCAGTTATATATACGTCATATGTGTACATGGAAAAGAAATGGGCGGTTAAGGTTAAAGTAAAACAGAACCATGTGCTTAATTGAAGTTAAAAAAGACAAACACCGTAAAAGAAAAACTAAGCTACGTGAGTTTTGACTTTTGACTCAAACATTCAATTCCCAATCATGAAATTAATTTTCATAATATCTGTAAATCAGTTATTTAATTTTTCCGTTGTCAAAAAAATCATTTATTTAATTTATGCATTGGGTAGTAATTAAAATTTTTACAAATTAAATTTTTTAAAATTTAATAAATAAATGTGCAATTTACTTCCATTAAATGAGTTAAGGTTTTTTAGGTGAAATAAAGGTATCTCCAAATCACATTAGACTTAAAATTAATCCCTTTCGACCTAGAACAGTTAAAAATAAACATCTCAACAAGTACGCTTCTCGAAATTTAAACTTGTTTTTTTTTTTACAGAGATTAAATTGCTATCACCTCAACCAACAGCTTGTTGGTATGAATTAAAGTTTTAATCTAAATGGTGAGTTATTAATTCTTCTAATTACATTAAGAGGATTTGAGTTAGCCCCACTTGATCAAATGAGTCATTAAATTTGAATATGGTAAAACAATAAGTTTATGAACAATAATTAGCTAATAAATAAAATTAAAAAAAAGCATATTAACTAGCTAATAAATGACTTAATATTTATGAACAATATTACGATTACAAGTTGGAAGGGAATTAACTGGGATAGCAGGAAAGGAAAGGAATCTGAGAGAAGAGAACAGAAAGATAAGGCATAAAGATTTAAAGATGCTGACATAATTCATAATTGAAGTCATGAGCTCAGTTTTGTTCTTCATTTTCTTCCCATACCCTAACGTCACTTACAGGGCAAGTTGATGCCAAAAATGCAACTGGCTCTGACAAAATACAAATGGTAGTAATACTATTATAATTGGAGCTTGTTTAATTCTCATGCAATTTTTTTTTTTTGGTGGGTGGGGTTTCAAGCTTTTTATGTTTAGTTTTTCAATTGACCCATTGGGAAAACCAGTGAAAATTCTTTGTTTTGAAATTTGATTGGTTTGAAAAACTTGAAACCTAAGGAAAGGTATAACATTTTTCAAAATACCAATATTTTAAATGCATGAACACAAATTTAGGTCTTTTTGTTAAATAAAATTTTTAAACGGAAACTTTTTCGTCAAGTTATTAGAAACAAATGCTCATATCTCATTAATAGTGTGGATTTTTTGACAATAAACAATGCGGTTTATTAAAATTTATAGTGTACATATATATTTAGAGTGTCTAAATATAATTCTTGTTTTTCATAAAATTTTTTTTAATTAATTTATTAATAAATATTCTTTAATACAAGATTTTTTTAATTAATTTGATAGATTAAAAAATTAGGTAAGTTAGTAATTATAAGAAATATGACATATTTTTCTAAACATACCATAATCATCTTTCTTAATATCCTTCTCCCTTATTTACTTAATTATGGTTGAGGAAGTATCCATAGAAGTAATTTTAAAAAAATTGATAAATATGATAAATGATTCTTATATTTATAACTAAAATTAATTTAAAAATGAATTCTTATATTAAGAACCAGAGAGTTTTTTTTTTCAAGTTGCACAATTTAAAAATTTTAAAAATTATTTACACATAATATAAAAAAATTTTTCATTTTTCACCATCTTCGTACGCATTGCTCTTGTGAAAAGCCGAACCTGTGACTCCATGTTTAGACAGCCGCCGCAAATAACCCAAAATCTAAACCATCATACCTAATTCAACCCAAAATTTGTAATACTGTTTTTCATCCTTAATATAAAAACTAATTAACTAATTTAAGTAGATTCAAAAAATTAGTCTAGTTAGTTGTTTTAATAAATAGGTATTGTCTTTCTTAAAATATCTTTACTAATTAAATGACATTTGATAAAATATTTAATATGTGCAACTACTATAAGGACTGTTTTATAAAAAATAAAGAAATATTAGAAATAAAATTGATTAAAATCTTATATTTAGAATCAAATTAAAATCAAATAAGTTATTATATTAAGTATTGGAGGTAATATTAAAAAAAAGATTTAGCATGTCTATCTCATTCTAATACTGACGTTGACGTTTTTTTAGCCAACTTATTGGTGTTGGCTCTCAATAATTACCATATCCCTGTAACTATAATGGAAATCTACCACAACATATCACAACTTTTTTAGGGTAATTGCCCATTCGCATATTTAAATGTTACCAAACAAAAAATACGATAATTGAACTCACTTATAATCAAAATTAATTTTAAAAATCAAACACATTCAAAATCATGTTTCTCCTACTCCAATTAGACATGTACTAGTATGAAAAGTTCAATCGGAAGTACTTCCTTCATCCTTTAATATAAGTCTCAATTTAAAACGGACAGAACGTGGAAATATTAAAATCTATATGATATATTATTGTATAAAAAATCTACATGATATGTACATATTAGTTTTATTATTTTTATCCTCAATTAAATGTCACTAAAAAAATCGGTTATTTTTTAATATAAGGTTAGATAGGTAATTTAAAATTTCTGAATGATGTGTTTTTGAAAAACATGCATTGATTATACCTGAAAATTTATATTAGAACTCATATTGAGAAATCATAAAAGTGCTTTTAAAAAATATTTTTTTAATAAGACAAACTCCTTCACGTACTTACCTCATAAATCGTAAAATCATGTTTAAAACTAAGGTTCGGTTTTCATCCACCCAGCATATACTCCCGATGTTTCTATTTATAAGAAAAAACATGCAAGATTAAGGAAAAAGTATATATTGTATCCAAGGAAAAAAAAGGAAAAAGTTATATAAATTGTTTTAAAATTACTTTTTATTTTTATTTTTGTCCTCTAATCAACGCCGCACTATTTTAAAACCTTAACTACATTCAGAATTTAAATTTTATTTTTAACAGGTGTGTTATTAAAAGTAACTAAATTATATCTTAAATTTTGGATCAACATTTAGATTTAAGGACAAAATAACAATTTAAATCAGGACTTACGAATAAAAATGAAGCAAATTAACTCTTCTTTTTAAGAAAATTTACTATTACATTTTTTTTTCTTGTTTCGAAAAGTGTTAGAAACAAGTTAAAGGCTCGCTTCAAAGTGGTATTAACTCAATTTCGTATCATTTATCAATCAATGAAATAATTAATTCCAAGTCGACTTCACCTCTTATATTGGTATGGTGTTTGCATCACAATTTAATTTATTAATTAAATACCATCACATTCAGCACATTTTTTTCTTCTTATCATTATTCTAACATAAATTACTAACAAATTTATTTTTTTTAAAAGTATTTGTTTTGACGTGACTCACGTATCCATTATTTTTTTTGGGAAATTACAATGAGGTCTCAAGTAATTAAAAAAACGTCCCAGAGATTGTTATTCTCACTGTAGGAATTTTTATTACAGGCTGCTCAGGTTGTTATTTGGGACTGTTTAGTGATTATTTCTCTTCTGTAGGACTTGAATGTAATTCTCCCTTTTTTTTTTAACATAAGGTTCAAATTCATAACCTCACCCTTCAAAACACCTTAAGAAATGTTTGAGATCATTTGAGTTATAAAGCCGTAAAATATAAAAATAAATTTGTTATAACAAAATTATAAATTCTAATAAAATAATTGGCAACGAACCCATTTCTTTTCTTTTTTTTTCCTATTCTTCACTTGCCGAAAGAACTAATACACCCATCATACTCATGGAGAATCAAATTTGTATTTCTTACTTAAGCTGAAACTTAATAAAATATATGGCATTCGTTGACCCAAGCCACTCCGACATAAGTAAAATAGGAAAAGAGCCTTTCCACTTTCCTTTCTTTGTATAACCATTAAAATTACAATCTGAACTATCCAAATTTCACATTATATAAAATACTTTTCTAAAATATTTTTATTATTGCTTTAAATGATCATAACTAAGATTTAGTATTTCAATTTTATTTATTTTAATAATTTAATATTTTGTTCATAGTTTATAAAATAAAAAAATCCGCACCATTCAAATTACTATCTTATAATTGAGATGGAAAGCGGAGAAGGAGAGAGTGAAGAGAACCCTCTTCCGAAGAAATATATGGGCATTGCCACCAGTCATTTTTATTTCAGAGAACAAGAGTTAATAACCCTATAAAAATTAACGTAAAATGATATATTTTAATCATAAATATAAAAAATCGAGTCGTTAAGAAATTTATTATATTAATTTGTTACAAAAAATTTTATAAAATTTTAATTTTTAAATATTTTTATTTATTTTTTTCATTTTAGGGAGACCTTGGTTTGTTAAATAAATTCATAAATTTATTTTAGTTCTTTGGCGTAATATTCCTAGATTCTTTATAATGATGGAAGACGTATCCGTGAGAACAAAGGTCGATGTGATGTGATTGGGAGGCATCATATCCTGTTGGCACGCAAACAAAATAGTAAACTGATTCTTTTTTTTTTTAATAGAATTTTTAATTGCTATTTTCTCTATTTTTTTAGAGATATCATGGTAATTAATTTTTTTCCCAAAGACCTAGCTTTGCTAAATAAATTGATGAATTTACAGAAAATTAATAAAATTAATTATTTGTAAAAACATGTTGATTTTTCTAAGATACTATCCCTAGTCCTTAATATAAAATTTAGTTGACTAATTTGAATAGATTAAAAAAAATTAGTTAAGTCAGTTAATTGTAATAAATAAGTATTGTATTTCTTAAAATACCGTTGAATAAAATATTTGATAAAACATTTAACATGTGCAACTACTATAAAATTACCTTAGAAAAAAGAATAAATATAAGAGAAAAAGTAAATTGGAGTATCATATTTATACCTAAATTAAAAATCAAACTAATTTTTATAAAAGACAAAGTGAATACTATCTTAAATTATTATTTGCATTGAAATTACTTTT